AAAGTCAAAGGGTTCCAAGGAATAGACAGGGTTTTTTTGGTAGCAAGATCAAAAGAGACTTTCAATAAGGTTAAGAATAACATTATCGAGAATTATCAGAAGATAATAAACATTGGTTTAAGAAGTTGTTAGAATTTCCCATCTTTACCTTCACCTACTCCACTACACACTCCACTTCACCTACCTCCACTTCACCACACACTCCACTTCACCTAACCCACTATCACCTCCACTACACCTACTACCACATTTTCTTCTATATATAGATTGTATAGGAATTGTAATTTATTAATCTAGTAATCAATCAATCAATAATATACATTAATTTTAACATGGTATCAGAGCAAGGTTAAGGAGCTAGTAATTCTGCTTCACCGGCGGGCGGCAGCCTCGCCTTGGCCGCCCGCCGGACCTCTACACATTCCCTAGCTTCCTCTATCTCAGTCACTGTCCTAGCCCCTCCCTCGGGCATGGTCTCTCACTCTCTCTCTCCGGGGTATGTATGTTGGGTCTCTCTGGAAGCAGATGTAACAGACGCCCTGAAAGATCAATTCTCTGAATCCCCTTCCCGGATGATGCTTCTTGCACAAAATCCCAACTCGCTGATTGACTCAACTTACTCCTTCCTCTCGTCTCCGGCGACGGCGACTTCTCGCCCAAACAAACTCCGATTAAACTCACCGCGGAATCTTATCTCCAGCGTCTCCGCAGCTCAGCTCGGGCCCCAGCAGCTCAAGTACATGACTTGCCGGAGGGAATCATCGGCCTGTTTCCTTCTCTCCTCTCCGTTGCTAGTTCCCATGAACCGGCCGAGGTCGGATCCGACCATGCTGGCGAGTGGCCGGAGATCCGCCGCATCACCTCCAGATCCAGCGGACTTCAATTTGCAACCCTGAGTCGCTCATGGCGTCAGCTTCGAAGCACACGATGCCGTTGGTTGCCCCTCCGCCACTCTGGTTGTTGTTGTGGCCATCAGCACAACCACCACCATCGCTGCCGCCGAGAAAGAAATCTTCGAACAACCCATCACTCTGCTTCTCTCTCTCTCCTCTGTTTCTCTCTCACTCACTATTTAGAAATAGATTAAATAAAATTTTATTTTATTTTATTTTTTACACAATTAAATAAATTTATTTTTTAAAAATAAAATAAATAAAATATCAATAAAAATATATGTTATTTTTTTAATTAAAATTTTAAATAAATTTATTTTTAAAACTAATAATAATTAAACAATGAAATTAAATAAAACATCTATTAAAATTTAAATAATGAAATTAAATAAAATATAAACAAAATTTTAAAATAAAACATCAACAAAATATCTATAAAAAATTAAATAAATAAAACATCAATAAAAAGTTAAATAAAAATATTTTATTTTTAAATTAAAACATTTAAATTTTATTGAATTTTACTAAATATAATACATAATTAAATAGTAGAAGGTCAAAATAGTCATTTTACCACCTAATCCCAACCGTGGATTGTTCCCCCAAAATTGTCCCACACCCCCCCCGGACACAATAGTCCCCCATATGGGGGATAAGGAGTCCGGCCAGACTCCATGTCCGGCGAACCAAAAAAAAACAAACGGCGGATTAGATGCTTCCTTTGGATTACAATCCGCACAGTAAATAGTCCCCCCTTATCCCCAAATCAAACACAATTTTGTTTGTAAAAAGTTAATCCAAACAATCATATTTTTTTCCTAAATTTTTTAGTCAAAAAAGTAAAAAAATGCACTTATTTAGGGCACTCAAAACAACTTTAAAAATTTATTGAATCATAATCAAAATAATAACTAAAATGAATCATAATTAAGGAGTGGTCTGGCATGTTCTAAATAAGTGCACTTTTTAATTTTTTATGAAATATGAGTTGAGTATGGATTGAGTTTGAAGTGATGTGGTAGAAAAATGATGTGATTTAAATAAGATAATATGAATTAAATAGAATAATGACTTTTTAACTTTTTAAATATATACAAAACAAGGCTTAAGTCATAATTAATATCACCATAATAAGTTATAATCAAATTATATCGGGCCATATGATCCATATTTTTTTGAAACATCAAATTATAACCAAAGTATAGCGAGTCGTACGATCCATATTTTTTTCAAACATGTATCGTAGAATTTTCCTAGTTGAAATTTCAAATCCAGCACAACCATCTATTAAAAAAAAAAAATCAAACACAAAAAATTGAATGGTATATATTATTTCCATAGATGAGAAAATGTTTGCTTGGTCAAAGGACGTTTGTAGGTAAAATCATGTGGGCCATGGCAAAGTACGAAAAATATTGATGATCGATGCCGTCACGCAGAAAAAGTAGTCCGTTTAGGTCCACACACGATGGGAGTGTTTGGCAAGTTGAATTTAGATTTTTTTTTTTTATATTAAAATTTATAAAGAAATAAAATAAGTTAAAATAGATTAAAATAGTCAATAAAATAAAATGTCATATTAAATTTATAATTTTTTAATTTTTTTTTCATAAATATCACATTTAACTATAACAAAATTTAACTCTCTTTTCAAACACAACTATTTTTATTTATTAAAATAGTCAAAAATTAATAACTAACTTTCCAACAATGCCAATATATATTCCTTCCGTCTCAAAATAATGATTTTTTTTTAGAGAATCTAACTTTTTTTTATAATACAATTATTGTATTTTAAAAATATTAATTTTTTAAAATTATCTTTTGATAGTATTTTTTAAAAAATATCAATTATCATAATTAAAATTTTTATGTTATTAATAAATTAAAAAAAACACAAAATAATAAATTTATATTATTTTATTTTTATTTTAAAATAATAAAAAATAAAATAACAAACTAATATTTTGAAACGAAATGGTAATTGTTTAATAATCATGGTCTGTCCATCTATTTCAACTGGATGTTTTAAATAAGCAAACATCACCTATCATATCTCCTCCGAAATATCATTAAAAAATAGGGTTTTTAAAAATGGATTATAAAAAGACGTGTAAAAAAAAAAAATTAGTAATTTTTGAATTTAAATTTTAAACAAGGCTTAAATAAATAATAATAATAATACTAGTAAAAGTATGGATTAATTACATTAATCATTCTTGAAGTTAAAAAAAAAAAACAACAAATATTATAAATTTAATATAATGAAATGTATAAGAAGTGTTATTAAAATGGTGAAAAGCTTAAAAAATAGTTTTAAATAAATAAAAAGTGTTTTGAATTTTGTTTTTTTAATTATTTTTTATGTGTTGCTATTAGCACTCCATAAATTATTTTAGACCTTCTAATTTTTAAATTTTTTTATTGCAATAATAACCTCAAATAAAATTATTAAAAAAGATATCATTAATTTTGGGACACCCCATCTCACAATAAAACCTATACACCCACTACATCATAAATTAGGATTTATGAGAGTACCCATCTCCATCACCACCCATCCATCTTTTCCAAATCCTACCTTCAAAACATACCTACCCTCAAAACTCTTTGGCGACAACATAGCTTATTTGTTCAAGAATGCGGGTTCGAACATGAAAAATTGTTAACACTTTGAATGGTTAAAATTATAAACACTCGCAGAAGTTTTCATTTGTCAAGGTTGAAAATACAGGCCCGAACATTACTTATTTGTTCGGGATGACGTGCCTGAACAAATAAGTAATGTTCGAGAATGCAGATTCGAACATGAAAATTTTTTAACACATTGAACGGTCAAAATTATTAACGCTTGCAGAAGTTTTCGGCCTTGTTTGGTTCGTTTTTGAGAAACAAGTTTTGGAGAAATTTTTTCTAAAATTTAGTTTTGTTTAGCTTAGTGATTTTGGAAAAAGAAATTCCAAAATCACTTTCTATCTCCTACTCATCAATCAATCACTTTTTATCTCTCCTCTCTCTTTGTCAATCACTTTTCTCTCATACAAATCTTCCTAAACTCTCACACCGCAAAACAATTTCCAAAATATACAACTAAACAAACCAAAAAAAATTCTAAACTCTTTTCCCAAATAAAAAAAAAAAAACTATCTCCCCAAAACCTAACCAAACACACCCTTATTTTTTCAAGTTCGGGAATATAGGGCTGAACATTATTTATTTGTTCGGGAATAAATTCCCGAACAAATAAGTACTGTTCGGGAATACAAGTTTGACCATGAAAATTTCCTAACACATTGAATGGTCAAAATTGTTAACGTTTACAGAAGTTTTCATTTTTTTAAGTTTTGGAATACAAGCCCGAACATTACTTATTTGTTCGAAAAAGCATTCCCAAACAAATAAATAATGTTCAAGAATGCAGGTCCGAACATAAAAATTTATTAACGCATTAAATGGTCAAAATTTGTAATACTTGCAGAAGTTATCAGAAGTAGCTCAACTCCAAGTTCAAAAGTTATTCCTTCATCGCATAATTTTGATAATATTGATGTGTAATTCTCTGCTGAATTCACAATTTTATAATTTCTACCAACAAAACCAATCAAACCAATTATTATAGTTCTTTTCCTGCAAGAAAAATAAGAAATTATGTATGTATATATAGAGAGCGCAAGAGAGAGAGAACATATCAACTGTGACAATGATGGATAAGACAATAGAAACAGTAATCACATTGACTATTTTTCTTCTTGGTGAATTTTGTTAGGATTTTTTGAAAGAGGGGTTTTTTTGACATTCAATAGATAGAATGTTTTCACAATAATAATTTTGATATTATTTGAAGTGAAAAAAGAAAATTTCAGAGTTTCAAAATTTATAAGTGAGGGCTCAAAGAAATGAGAGTTCCAAAATAATTCATGAGGTGCTAATAACACCACTCTTTTTTATGCCTCTTAAGCACTTGTTAGCAAAATCTTAGCAAAATCCTACAACTAAGGATTGATACATAAAAAGAGAGCAAATATGATTTAAATTAAAATCTTAAGAAATTATAGTATAATTATATCAAACTAGTAAAGCTTAGTGCATTTTTTCAAACCTCGATAGAACTTAGAAGATAGTTAATTTAAAACGAAAAATAAAAACTAGTACATAAGGCTCTTCACTCCAACATGCAAAAAAGCTGTTTCTGTATTTTGAAACCATAGCGACCAAATGAAACAACCGCTAATGACTAACCCTTAAATTTTATAACTCCATTTACGGAAACCTTCCAACTCAAAAGGCCATTTCTAACAATATTAGCATCCAGCTCCCATGAAAAATCTAAAGAGAGAAACCAACATCACCATGCTCTGAAGACGGAAAAAAAAACAAAGAATTTACAGATGACAGGAATTTTGGCCATCAAACATGCAATTCTTGCCTTGAATCCAAACACCAACACTTATAGTTTGGTTTTGAAATTTGAAAAAGTTCATCTGGGGTCATACTCTCAAGTTCCTTGGATTTCCAAGAATCAAAAACGTTGGTACTCGAATTTTGCACATGTTGAGCTGCAAAAGAAGTTCCCAACCCCGCTTCGACAACATGATGATCCTGAGCTCGCATCCTCTTGTACAACCTCATTGCAGAGACACAATCTACAAATGGATCGTGTACCCCTGATTGGATATCATACCTGCAAAGCCAGAAACTTTTTGATAATCAAACTGGAAAATTAATAGCAAAAATAGCTTCATAAGCTATTATATTATTTGATTTTATTATGTAAGGTTGAGTAATAGAGATCACCACCACAATTTTTTTAAAATTTTTTCTTCTCTTCTCTTTTTTGTTAACTAGAAAATGGTAGGTTCTAAAATTCTAGAAGAAGAAGAAATATGATATTTATCAACTTCTGCAAGCAGAGTCAGTTCGTAAACAATCAAGTCGTCCCAACAACGTTGAAAATAGATAAACAGAAAGGTTTGGAATAAACTGTAGGCTATAGCAGCATAAAAAATAAAAGCCAAATCTACTTTCCCAACTTAGAGTTGACACCGGGTTGCAAGAATCTCAGGTTAAGATGGGCAGTTCCAAACTAGTCGAAGGACTAAAAACCAAATCTACAGGTTCTTATCAGATCATGTAACAGAAATTTAGTTTGGAAATGCACGCACTTGTTTTGCAAAAACAAAAACAAAAAAATACTAAGCCTATATCAAATGGGACCAACAAAACTGAAAATAGGATTTGCATGACCAAGCAACATAAAAAATCCTAGACAAGAAGCAATAAAGCAACCAGAAAGTCAATTAACTTGCCCTAGATATGTCCGGGTGAGGTACTTGAGTGAGTGGCTGACCAGATTTGTTTTCAAATATGGACGATATTTTGCTGTATCCCTGCATGGAGAGAGAAATAACTGTAAGCAACAAAAATGGGAATTCTAAACTCAATAAGCAGCAAGTAGAAAGCAAAGTTTCAAAAATTTTGTTCTTCTCACTCAACTCTACAATTGAGGAAGGCAAGATTACTACGATCAAGGAAATAATAATTTTAAATCAGTGTTAAATGCCACTACAATGAAAATTACTCGATTCAATATTGGCAGAACAAAAAATAATTTCACAAAGTAATGGTTTAAAAGTAAAAGAGTAATGCTAGAAACCTCTAAAACATCAACCCTAAATTTACCTACCCTGACGTGGCATGGAGTTGAGTGGTAGTTGGTTGATTTCTAAACAAATCAACAACTAACATGCAATTGCCCATGTCATTGAGGTGATGTTTAGGGGTATCAAGCATTTTCCAAACGTAAAATAAGAAATGGTATTACCAAAAAGATAACCCAACACTTCAGCTATCCAACAAGGAAGGCCAATTTGAGAAAGGGTGGAACAAAAAGAAAGCCAACAAGGCAAACAAACAATATTAACTTCTACACTATAATGACTCCATCCACCTTCTCTATACAAATCAAGGTGTACATGGATGCCACTATGTGAGGGGGAGAGCCCATATTGTTTTATGCAGCATTTCAGTTCACATATATATCCACAGAATGGATTCATAAACATTTAAAAATAAAATAAATTATGACATTCAAGGATTAAAATTTTGTTTTCACGTGTTGTTTCGGTTAGTTTGGAAATGGAAACTTCTTGGAAACATTTTGGAAACATAAGAGAAACCACTCAAAAATTTGGAAACATGAAGTGTTTGAAAACCTAATAAGTAAATAATTAAACATGTTTAAGGTCTATTATTCTATTACATAAAGGGTACTAGTGTATAATTTGGTACTACATGTCAAATACAAACCGAAAATCATTAAATTAAATAAACAAATTACCGAACACTACTGTTTATGAATCTAAATGTGCGCAAGGTTCCTACCAAACAAGGTTAAAAAATATATAGGAAGTAATGATAACGCAAATTAGTAGTAAACAAAAGTCAAAGGGTTCCAAGGAATAGACAGGGTTTTTTTGGTAGCAAGATCAAAAGAAACTTTCAATAAGGTTAAGAATAACATTATCGAGAATTATCAGAAGATAATAAACATTGGTTTAAGAAGTTGGATTGAGGAGTACGGTTTGCCATAGTAGGAGAAAAAGGTTAGAAAGGCTAGATTCTTGTAGTAGCAAAGACTGCAGTATCCCATCATAATTTTTAATTTATACCCTTCATGATCTGACTGAGATTATCGGCCTCATAGTTTTTCATACCAAAAGCTGCATCCTGGTTAGTTGTCACCACTTCCTTACCTTGTTCCTGACCTTGGGAAGGAATAGAGTAGGGCCTTTACCGATTCTATATAGAAGTAATAGGGAATAGAAAAAAGAAAAAGGTAGTTGTAATAAAAAATGAGAAAGAATAATGACTCAACCACAGCCTATTTATCTCTCTTTATTTTTTTACTTTCTCAAATCTACTGATAATCTCAATCAAATTTCAAATGTTTTTTGGTGTATCATATATACATATATGATACACAAAAGATGCATCAGTGTAAGCGCTATGGAGGCAAAAAAAGACTAAAGTCCATCAGAGAAAAATATACTTCTTAAATGCTATGCAAAGTACAAAAAACAATGACTTTATTCCCCCAACCAACCCCTATATATAGTACGGTGATCATAATTTTGAAGATATATTATGTTTAGAAAATAGAAGTGTGTTAAGCTGAACTGTAACAGATGGATGAACACAGTGTGTAGGTCACATCTAGAGAATCAATATAGTGTTCTCCATAATAACAACCATAATTTTCATCACATATCTATTACTTTCGTAGGTCATTTTCATTATATTTTTCTAATTGGAATACAGCATCATCGGGAAAAAGATTACCTATGCAAGTGATCAGGATAATTCATTTTTAAGCAATCCAGATCATGCTCTATGTCATGACCCACAAGAAGCCTAGCTTTTCCACCATCCAACCGTACTCTTCCAATGGACTCTCCATTGTACAAGATTTCCAAGAGTCTTGCTTGCACTTCCTTGAGCGGCATGGCATCCCTTAGATGCTCTTCTCCTATACCAGTAATTTCATATCTGGACAAAGGAAAAAAAGTAAATATATGTAAGCATCAAACTGATAAGCAAATCCTTCCACAGCAGTCTTTTAAAATATCCAGGGACGAACGAGCAATAACAGTACATAGATACCTGTAATCAGTGACAGGAATTTGAGGTTCCACATATGTATGGAAAATCAATTTCTCATCTTCATCAATCAGGCATACCCTCGCACAAAGGTCAAGTGTCCCATCACTTCCACCACCAACCATTTCACAATCTATAGCAACTGCTTCAAGACCTCTGTTGTGGGCTCCATTGTTTGGGAATGGCCTATCAACTTGAGGTTCTGTACAGGGCATTATCAGTGTTGCCTGCATCAGACAAATAAAAATACTCCATAATAAGAAAAACCTACACAAATGTTTAACAAAAGTAGCTATCATGGTTTTCTGTTTTTCCCTGTGGGCAAACATGATAGTTCATTAGAGATTCCTCCATTTGCATATATAATACTTAAAAAATTATCTAATCAACTTACAAGAGGAACGGGGGCAGGTAGTCGACACAGTTCTTTGTGTTCACTAAGGTTAGCTGGGCTGTCAAAAATTTTCATGCAAAGGCTGCAACCTTTGTCAGCAAAGATCCTTGAACAATTTGCTTTGGACAATGGACCTAAACAATTATAGAGGAATTGTAAAACGACAAGAACCAAGACAATAAATTTATCAATGGATAATATACGGATTACATTAACTATGGGAAAAAATAAAAAAATCACCAGTAAGATGCTCTCTCAACGATTCAAAGGTTTTGCAATGCTTTTGACAAACCCCGCACTTAGGCTGATGAACTGAGTGATATGAGGCCCTCATGTGTCCAACAAGATGCTCCTTTTTCTTATACTGCTTGAAGCATGCTGTGCACTTGTGCCTGTAAACAAACAAAATCGTTAGTTATTACTCAAGAAACAAGAAGGATAGATTAGTGTAGTAAATGATATATCTGGAATAAAAAAATTTGATAAATGTAGTGAGAAGATTGCAAGAATATGTAATGGTACAACATGTTACCATATCAGATTATACGAGCATGCTACGATATAGGAAATAATATTAGCTCAAATTTAGTAGAAATCTTGAAGTATGTGAGTTACTCAGTAGACCTAATATCACTAATCTAAAACCTGAGCAAATATTAATCAATATTCAGTGAGACAATCAATAGCAATACATCAAACAATAAGGCAACAGAAACATGAAAACTTGTGATCTATGTTTCATTTATAAATATATATGAAAAAAAGGCATCTGCAATGGACAATATATCTTGCTATAGATTGAGAGAGTCTGATGAACAATTTTTATCTTCAATCGCGAGTCTATGGCATTATGTTGTTCCTTGTCTAATTACTTTGTACACCTTTTAGTCTATTAAATTCAACAGCAACACTCTTACTATATGGGACAAGGCATGCACATTTTTTTTTTTGTGGATAAATAGGCAAATTTATTAGAAAAGCATCAAGATGATGCAAAAAATACAAAATTCAAACCCCCAAGGGAAAAAAAAATGCTAAGCTATCAAATATCCTCCACAAAATCTACATTAGCTAAAACATCTGGATCAACCAACCCCGTAACCCAATTATATAACACCATAAACAGCCGCCTCTCCAGCCAAGAAATCAAATGAGACACCCCTTGGAAGACACGCCTGTTACACTCCAACCAAATAAGTCACATTAAACAGTGAGAAGCAATCATCCATGTCTTTCGACGTCTCCTTCCAACCCTCCTCCTAGCCCAACTTTACAAGACCTGCCAACACCGAACCTGGCTGCACCCAAACCATACCAAAGCAAAAGTTGCCACAATAAGCATCCAAAGCCGAGATGTAAATGGACAATGAATGAATAAATGGTCCACCGACTCAGCATCACCACAACACAAACAACACCAATTCACCAGTATATGCCCACGGTGAATCAAATTATCAATCGTTAGAATACATCCTAAGGTCGCCGTCCACACAAAGAAAGTTACCTTGGATGGCGTACCCGACACCCAGACACAATTCTAAGGAAACGAAACCACATCAACATGAACAACCGCATCATAATACGAAGACATAGAAAAAAGCCCCTTAGAGCCTGGACAGCCCCAAACCATAAAATCCTCCCCTGCACCCCCAGCTTGCAACCCGTATAAGAAACCCAACAACTCCACTATCTTGTTTTAATTGCAAGTTAATCCCAACACATTTCATCATGTGTTCTAGAATTTTTCCTATCTTGAATTGTGTAGAAATATAATGTAAAGAGAAATAGAGAATTGTATAGATATTGATTGTATTATTAATTGATTGTCAATTTATGTTTACAATGAGTTCTATATATAGAAGATTAGAGGAGGTAGGTATGTAGTAGGTGGAGTAGTAGGTGGAGTAGGTGAAGTGGGTGGAGTAGGTGTAGTGGTAGGTTTTGGTAGGTTTTTTTAACAAATTGTCAATTTCTAAGGAAACGAAACTACATCAACATGAACAACCGCATCATAATACGAAGACATAGAAAAAATCCCCTTAGAGCCTGGACAGCCCCAAACCATAAAATCCTCCCCTGCACCCCCAGCTTGCAACCCGTATAAGAAACCCAACAACTCCACTATCTTGTTTTAATTGCAATTTAATCCCAACACATTTCATCATGTGTTCTAGAATTTTTCTTATCTTGAATTGTCATATTTCCTTATATCATCATATGGGAAAATTGTAAAGTCATGGTATCCAATGCAAGAAAAGAACCAATGTTGGGTCTCTTTCACTACACTCAATCTTCTTGATTAGAAGTCAAAGTTCCTCCTCTCAGACCAAATTTGGTCCATGAATGCCAGCACTTCAATCACCGCTAAGGAATCAATATATTGTTGCGTATAAGTATACTCTGATGATTTTAATAGGGTAATTCATTATTTTGAGCTACAACATCTGTTCTTTATTCATTTAGTTGTGTACAATGTGCATGCCTTGTCGCAAGGAGGGGAGGGGAGGTAGAAAGGATTGTGGAACTCAATTATTGTTGCCATGCAGTTAAAAATCTTGTCATGGAATGTGCATGGATTGAATGATAGGGGGAAAAGGGTCTTGGTTCGATCTCTGTTGAGAAGTACCAGGGCGGATGTAGTGTGTCTTCAATAAACAAAGATGGAGTGCATTAGAGGGGAGACCGTTAGGGAGCTTCTTTTTTTTTTTGATTGGGGGGGCGGGGGGGGGGTGGTTTGTGGATTGGACATTTTTACCAGCATTGGGGGTAGCAGGGGGTGTCCTTCTGTGTTGGGACCGGTGGGTGATGGAGCAGGAGGATGTGAAGGTTGTGGCTTTTTCGCTATCTTGTTTGTTTCGTTGTGTTGCAGATGATTATCGTTAGGCCTTCACTGAGCTTTATGGCCCTGTTGGATGGTCAGAATGGGCTACGTTTTGGGAAGAGCTCCAGTGTATTACTTTTTGCTAGGGGGTTCCATGGTGTGTGGGTGGTGACTTCAATGTGGTGCAGTGCATGGAGGAGAAGCAGGGGGTGACCTCAGTATCAATATCTATGTGTGCTTTTTCTTCATTTATTGATGAGATGGAATTGGTGGACTTGCCGCTTCAGGGGGGTGGTTATACTTGGTCTGGGGGCAGGGCGATGTCCTGTATTGATAGGTTTCTAGTGATTGGAGATTGAGAGGGGCATTTTTCACAGGTGACTCAACTAAGGTTGCCTCGTCCTTTATCGGATCATTGGCTAGTTTTATTGGACAGTGGGGGGATCAGGAGGAGACCATCGCCATTTCGATTTGAGAATGTGGCTTTTGTTTGAAGGCTTTGGGGAGAAAGTGAGGGGGTGGTGGGGAAGTTGTACTGTGCTTGGGAATCCTAGTTGTCGTTCCCAGAAATTGAAGCTTCTCAAGTCGGATTTGAAACAGTGGAATAGGGTGGTGTTTGGGTGGTTGCAAACTCAGAAGGCGAACATTTTAACAGTTTTGTAGGAATTGGATGAGAAAGAGGACAAGGGCACTTTGTCTGAGGAGGATATGGCTTGTCGGGATGCGGCTCAAAAGGAATTTGGAAAGGTGGCTCATATGGAGGAGATTAGTTTTCGCCAGAAATCTAGATGTCTGTGGTTGAAGGATGGGTTTGGAAGACGAGCTTCTTTCACCGTATGGCAAATGCGCATCGGCGTGTGAATAAGATAGGGAGATTGCGGGTGAAAAGGGTGGAGTTATCATCTATGGAGGAGATTACGGGGGCCATAGTGGGTTTTTATGAGTATTTATTTCGGTATGATGAGGGAGTTTGGAGGCCGACGCTGGATGTGGGTTCGTTTGATGTTATTCCAGAGGCGGAGTGTCCTTTGTTGGAGAGGGCATTTACAGAAGAAGGGGTATTTGAGGCACTGCGGAGTATGCCTGGGGATAAGGCGCCTGAGCCTAACGGTTTTTCCATTGCTTTTCTCTAGCACTGTTGAGGAGTGGTGAAGGAGGATGTGATGGCTATGTTTGAGCAGTTTCATCGGACAGGACAGTTTGAGAGGAGCTTGAATGCCACTTTTATTGTGTTGATTCCCAAGAAAGGTGGGACGGAGGATATTAGGGACTTTCAACCTATCAATCTTTTGGGTAGTGTGTATAAGTTGTTGGTCAAGGTTTTGACGAATCGCCTTCGAGGGGTGTTGGGGGGGTGGTGTCTGAGTCTCAGAATGCCTTTGTGGGTGGGAGGCACATTCTGGATGTGGTTTTGGTGGCCAATGAATGTGTGGACTTGAGGTTGAGGCAGAGGAATGCAGGGATTATTTGCAAACTAGATATTGAGAAGACATATGACAATATTAGTTGGGAGTTTCTATTGTATATACTAGAGAGGATGGGTTTTGGGGCTACATGGAGGCGGTAGATACATTTTTGCATATCTACTGTACGGATGTCTGTGTTGGTCAATGGTTCTCTAACAGGTTTTTTCCCTACGTATAAAGGCCTACAGCAGGGTGATCCCTTGTCCCCGCTATTGTTTCTTCTAGTTATGGAGGCTTTGGGGCGGTTGCTTTTCAAGGTTTTGAGGTGGGTTCTGGACCTACTTATTTGGTTGTATCCTATCTTTTTTATGCAGATGATGCTCTTGTATTTTGTGTTGTGGACGCTAGTCAGATTAGACATCTTCGATGTGTGTTACTGTGTTTTGAGGCCGTGTCTGGTCTTTGGGTTAATCTCTCAAAGTCTGAATTAATTCCAGTAGGTGAGGTGGCTCGACTTCCTGTTTTGGCAAAGATTTTGGGGTGCAAGGTGGCGTCTCTGCCAGTCTCGTATCTTAGTCTACCTTTGGGAAGGCCCTTGGGGTGTTGGATAGGGTGGTGGAGCGTGTGCAACGGCGGTTGGCACTGTGGAAGCGCCAATATTTATCTAAAGGAGGGAGGGTTACTTTGGTCAAGAGTGTCTTGTCGAGTATCCCAACTTATTTTATGTCGGTTCATGTGATTCCGATGGCAATTGCGAAGAGGATTGAGAAGATGCAACGGAATTTTTTATAGGGAGATGAGGGGGAGGGTTCTTATTCTCATTTGGTGGTTTGGGATCGAGTTTGTCGTTCTAAGGAGAATGGGGGTTTGGAGGTTAGGCGGAGCATTACTGGGTAAGTGGTTGTGGCGTTTTGAGGGAGGGAGGGGGGGAAGGAAGCATTTATGGAGGAAGGTGGTTGTGGCAAAGTTTGGTTTGGAAAGAGGGGTGGTGTTCGGGTAAGGTGGGATAGCCTCATGGTTGTGGTGTCTGGAAAGGAATTGGGTTGGGTTAGGCTGGGAGGAGTTTTGGCAAAGGATTCAGCTGAAGGTAGGGTTAGGAGATAGAATCTGTTTCTGGCGTGATAGGTGGTGTGGGGATACTTCTTTAGAGCAGTTGTTCCCTTCGATTTTTGGGATTGCAGAAGATTCTGAGGTTATGGTGGGGGCGGTTCAAACGACACTAACAATAACAATAAATTGGGTATGGAAAGGCAACTAGATTAACATATGAAAAATTAAAGATAAAGAGACTGACAGAGTTGTTAAAAACTAAAGATACTACAAGAAGGAACAGCTACAATAAATTATATACGATAAAAAAATAACACCCAATAATTGCTCATCGGCCCATGTTCTCGTGATTGATGCATGTACTCTTAACCACTGTAATTCTTTTCTTTTAATCCCTTTGTGCCACGTGCCCCCCTCTTGCTTGGAATGCTATTAAAAATGTGCAACCCAAACATGATTATGCCGGACAAGACATGTATATTAGACACCAAGACATCTATACTATCTATACTATTATATTAAATAAAGGCTGGACTAGGTGTCCAAGCCTTTGCTTACTTCTCCTTATACTGCGTGTCCCTCATTTCTCTATTTAAAAAAAATAATAAAAAAAAAAGGTTATATAGAGAAGTGCACGAGACTTGAAACTTTATCCTTGAATTTAGGATTTAGGAAAGAAAGCTCTTACCATTTGAGCAACACTCACGTATTATTGATATGAATTTCTTTATCATTTATTTTTTCTAACTTCAATCACTCATGCATCACATGTGTCAACCGCTAGTTATGGATCATATACAGACAGTACAACATGATCTCTCACATTTGCATCGATATTCAAACCCCAAAAAATGGACCAAATAAAAAACTGTGGACATACTAATGCTACACCAACCAAAAATAGGTATTAGAGCAAGAGGCAATACAATGGAAACTGAATTCCGGAAGCAAAACATTCATACTGAATTAGAAGATCCACAAATTATCCTTTGTTTGGTTGCTGAGAAAATGAATGGAAAAAACAAAACAAAAAAAAACAAAAAAAGGGCCAAAAAGGGAAGGAAAATACGCAAACAAACTCAATCAAGGTAGTGAAATAGTTGCATTTTAGTTTTTAAGTCAGTGGAATGGGTTTCTCGGGTCCTTTTTCCCTTTTGTGAGTCCACAAATCCAAACACATCGTTAACATTTTCGAAGCAACCAAACAAATTCTCTCTGAAAATATGTAAACAAGGAATGCAAGGAGACAGAGAGAGAGGAGTGACCTTGTTGTTAGGGTTTTAGGAGGAGGGTCTTCTGCTGAGGAATCCATGCAATGATGGAGCTGGAAATGGTGGAGCAAAAATGAATATGAATGTATATATGTGATGACTGAGAATGAGGAATTAGGGTTTAGTGCTGTGTGGGTTTCGTTGAATTGAAACGTATGAAAGCTAAAACGCTTTATTGCTCTGTGGGTTGTGTCATCTCAAGAGTAGCTAAATCCTCACATTTATTTATTTATTTATTTATTTACTAACATATCACCCGTATTATGCACGAATTGTGTTTATAATTATCTATATATGTGAATTGTAATTTTTAAATATATATTTTTTTAAATGTCTTCTTTTTTTTCTTTTTTTGTATTATATTAAAGTTTAATATTTTGATAATAATCATATGTGTTAGATTTTTTAAGTAATTAAATGTCTTTTTTTTATTATATTATATTAAAGTTAATATTTGATAATAATCATATATGTTGGACTTTTCAATAATTTTTTTTATGCTTGTTCTTAATACATTAAAGTGTTATTATGATAAATAATAATCATATGTGTTGAGACTTTTTAAGGAATTTATATGTGTTGGATTTCAAAGAATTTTTTTATATTTGTTCTTAATGCATTAAAGTGTTATTATAAGTGTAAGACTTGGGGATTGGGAGAAATTAATAAATGTTAAGGTTTTTTTTTTGAATTGCAATTTTTAAATGTTTTCTTCTTTTTTTTAAAATATCTTATTTTTTTCCTTTTTTATATTATATTAAAGTTTAATATTTTGATAATAATCATATGTGTTAGACTTTTCAAGAAATTAAATGTTTTTTTTATTATATTATATTAAAGTTTAATATTTTGATAATAATCATATGTGTTAGATTTTTTAAGAATTTTTTTTATACTTGTTCTTAATGTATTAAAGTGTTATTATGAGGGATAATAATCATATGCGTTGGGACTTTCAAGGAATTCATATGTTGGATTTCAAATAATTTTTTTTTATACTTGTTCTTAATGCATTAAAGTGTTATTATGAGGGTAAGACTTGAGAATTGGGAGAAGTTAATAAATGCTAAAGTTTTTTTTTTAAATCAAAAAATCAAGAAATTTATATTAGGAGATTGGAGCTCTCACAAGACTTGGGGTTAAACTCCCTTTTGCTTAATATATAGTATAGATTTATTTATTTATTTGGACAAAAATATTTCCAAGGGGGAATTACATCGTGTTTTTTTTTTAATATTTAAAAATAATAATAATTTAGAGAATTAACTCATTTTTCAAATTATTTGATAAGCTAACCTGCTTTTTAAAATCACATTTTGAAAATGCAACTTTAAATTGAAACTGTATTTTTAACATGTAATTTTACCTTAAAATCGCATATTGAAAATGCAATTTATGATGACATGAACTTCACTTTTTGAAATTGTATTTTCAACATGCGATTCCAAGGTAAAATTACAATTTTTCAAAATCATATTTTTAAAATGTGATTTCAAAAAGCATGTTAGATTTCTAAATAGTTTGAAAAATAGGCCAATTCTCTAAATTTTTTTTTTAGAGTATTAATAAAAAAATCGAATTACATCAGTGGGTTGATCTTTTTTCTTTTTTTCTTTTTACATAAATATGGAGAAGTGTAAATCACACTTGCATTTCTTAAACATTTCACTTGCACTCCCACATATTTTTATAATTTTTTTTCTAATCCTTCCCTACTTCTTAATTTTAATCTACTTTGATTTTAAATTTAAGTATATATAAAAAGAAAAATGATTTCAAATAAACTATTTCAATCTTTTCATCACATTTTCATAAATAAATTTAAAAAAAAAATCCTCTTATTGCAAATTTCATTGTTCATTAAATTGGATAGGGAAAAATTTATCTCAAATATTTTATTTTTTATCAAATTTAATTTTGACGAGTTTTTAATTTGATGAAAAAAATAATAATTTTAATTTAATAAACAATTGATGAAATAATAAAATTTGATGAACAATTTAGGGTAACAAGCTTTAGGGAGTGGATGTCGATGGTGGGAAATGATTCTAGAAAATGGCTGGAAGTAGGGGAGGGTTGGGAGGTGGCAAGGGAAATATAGGCCTTGTTTGGGAAGTTGGTTATTTTAATTTTTGACTATTTTAGTAGGTTAAAATTTTTGTGTGTTGGGAAGATTGTTGGTTTTTTTTTTTTTTGATATTTGCGAGAAAAAAAGTGAAATGATTATGAATTTGATGTGGCATTTTGTCTTATTAGCTATTTTAGCCTATTTTGTATTTTTGTGAATTTTAACCTAAAATAGGCTAAAATAGCCCTTGCCAAACAAGGCCATAATATGGGTGAGAGTGCTTGTTGATGGTGGTTGGAGGTGAAGGAAAAAGGCAATGGAAGTAATGAAAGATGGTGTAGGAATAACGGTGGTTGGATGTAGGGGCAGCATTAGTGGCTTTTAATGGTGGTTGAAGATAAGAAACTGAAAAAATAAAATGTTGAGATTACGGTTAAAAGTGGCTAGAAGGAGAGGTGGCCGTCTATGGTGCTTGGATGGTTGAAGATAGGTAAGTGTTGTTGGGAAGAGCAAGAAAATAAGGTTTTGGGTAAAAAAAAAGAAAAAAGATGTGAGTATAAAGGTAATTTTGTTCAGTAGTAATTGGAAATACTTGTCAATCGTTTCCAGTAGTGACTAAAGGCGATTAAATTTTATTTTTTTTCCCAATAGCCAATTGAAGGTGATTATTGACGATTGAAAATGGTGATAAACGAATGAAAGTCGTAGTTGAATGTGATTTTCGATAAGAGATAATAACTAAAGATGGTTGTCGTTGATGGGAAGTGGTAATTGAAGGTGGTTGATGGTGGCGATTAATGGCGGGGTTTTTTTTGGGTCCCTGATATTAAGATTTTATAACATATAGGACATTCAATATTTTTATGATGTCTAAGGTCCCTTAATATTGATCCATAGAAATTTCAATTTAGAGAAATTATCTCTAGAGAAATTATGGACTTCCCAAAGAATTTCTTTGCGTTCAAACTAGAGAAAATTCAAAGCATTGAATCTAGTTTGAACTCAGCGAAATTTCAATTTATCTGGGTAATTTTCTCTGTGTTGTTCAATTTTCTTTGATTTGAATTCAGAGAAATTTGAATTTTCTCTGGCTTGAATCCAAAGAAATAATTGATGTCTACAATTCAATCTACATTTCAAGAGATTAAAATGCAGAAAAGGGACTTCATAGATAGCTACATTGAAGAAAATCTTCAATTTTCAAAATTAAAATAGAAGATAATAAAGAGATAATGGTGAAGGCAGCATAAATAGAAAGAAAAAAATCTTACACGAAAAATGAATCAGTCGAGGAAGAACCTGGCGGCGATGAAACCAAAAGCGAAGTAAAGCGCGCACATGAAATGACAAAGGCTTGGGACGCCATTGTTGGTCCAGATCAAGTCCATTAGATACTTATAACCTAGAACATCCAATTCAGAACGATTCAACAATCAACGAAGCCATTAATAAATAAATTCGATCTCCGTTTACAAAATCAACAATTCCACATTCAAATTGCACGCATTTACATGAATTTTTCCCTAATCTGAGGCGATGATGGAGATGGCGATAGTGGTGAAAAGCCGAAGATGAGAGACATAAATCTAGGAAATGAGAGAGAGATCTAGGGTTTTGAACTGTAGATAGAGATAAATCTGGTAAAGATCAATAGGGAAGGCGAAGGTGATCTCGTCGTTGAGATCGACAAGAAGGAAAAAGAGAAGAGCAGCAAGGAGAAAGAAGAGATGAGGCGTGAGTCTAAGAGAGAGAGAGAGAGAAAGAAAGAGAAAGAGAGAGAGGTGAGGGTTTGAAGCCGTGAGATATATCAAATTTCTCTGTGATACATGGGTGTGGAGTTGAGGGACCTTAAACAGCATAAAATAATATTGTGAATCTCTTCCATTACTAAAAATGGGAGAGGGATCTTAGACTAATTATCCCAAATAAAATAAGCACCAAACATATTTATGTTTACATTTTTAATTTTTTTGTAAATTAAAATAAAATTATAATATATTAACCATGCCATAAGATAAAATGATAAATTACAAATACAGTTTCTGAAATTTATTTAAAATATGAATGACTACTGTAATTTAGAAAATTACATTTTTGCTCTTTAAAGTTTATTAATTTTATAACAAATGATATATTTTATTGCTAAATAATTAAATTAATTAATAATTTTAATAATGCTAAAAATATATTTTTATTAATAATTTAAGTAATTTTATTATTGTATAGAAGAATAACCATGAATTTTATTTTTTAGTTAATTTTATTAAATAAAAAAGTGAGCTTTTTTAGTAAATCCACTATCTAAGAATCCTATTCCATAAGACCCATAGTGTTTTGTAATATTCCATTAGGTCACATTTCATACTAAAAGACCGAAAAACCCTCAAACAAACACGTACCTATCCTTTGAATCAAATTACTGTCCCTCTCTTCCATTTTCTTCTTGCAGAAAATCATGCACAGTATCTCCACCATTCCAAAAATCCAAAATCGTATTTCATATCGTCTCGAAGCCCAGAAGACTCTTATCATCACATCGTCGCACCGTCTCATCGTCTTCTTCGTCATCCCTACGTCGTCGGTCGTCGAAATCGTGCAAATCACCATTGTTGAACATCCGTAAGTTCCATTTTCGTCAAAATCACCTTCGACGACCATTTGTGACAATTTAATCGTCAAAATAGGCAGAAAAACATAAGTACTCTAATCATTCTTGTATGTAAACCCTAAATCTCTTCTTCAACAAACAACGTTGTGAACTTTCACAAATATCCCCTATTTCTATTCATACAATATATGGATCTTCATATTGTTATTGTTCATGCCCTAATCGTTAATCTGAACCCCTCAACCCTAATCCCCAATTATATGGGTTTTTTTCACCCAAAACATTACAGTTGCCGTTTATGTTGTGTTCAAATCTGTAAACATTCAAATGGATTGAAAGAATGTTGGGCAAAGCAAATTGTTTCAGTTGTTGTTGTTGAAAGATGTGAACATTCACATGAAATTGAAAATTGTTAGGCAAGCAAATTGTTTCAGTTGTTGTTGTTTCAGTTTTTGTCTCCCTTGTTTGTTGTTGAAAGATATGAACATTCATATGGATTGAAAAATATTGTGCCAAGTAAATTGGTTCAGTTGTTGTTGTTGACAGATGTGAACATTCACATGAATTGAAAAATGTTTGTGTCATCAAATTGTTTTAGATGTTATTATTGTTGTTGTTAAAAGCTGTGAACATTCATATGGATTAAAAATGTTTGGCTAATCAAATTGTTATTATTAACCGTAGTGAACATTCACATGAAAATTCCTTGTATCAGATGTTGTTGTGATAAATAATTATGTTGTGAACATTCATTGCATGTGTAAATTAATTAGACACTTTGTGAACATTCACCACTGTGTTTAGAGGAAAAATATCACTTTTGTTATCCCATGTTTGAAATTGTATTTTAATTTTGAGATTGTACTATAAAATTAGCATTGCATGATTGTAGTAAGTGTGTGCATTGTCATCCAAATTAGAACTGTGAATGTTCACAGCATAATTATAAACATACATTGATTTTTACATACACACTATGCACATTGTGTTTTTGGCTGGCACAGTGAACATTTACATCCATTGACAGATGTGGATATTCATATCCATGCACAAAATTGTGGACATTCACACCCATGCACACAACCGTGAACATTCACATTTATGTCAATGTTGTGAATGTTCACATCTGTGCCACTATGCTAATCACATGGGCATTATCTTAATTTTTTTATGCTCTATTTTGCAAATATTGCATAGAAGAAAACCTCAAAGCGAAAAAGAGACGAGTATCATGTCAAGGAAGAAAGCCCATATGCAAATACTAGCAACAATGTTGACATGCGGCGTGTCAACTATAGATCCAACATGACCGAACTGGTGAAATTAATGAAAAGCACCAAATTCACACAAGTACAGCTCGGCTGCCTGTGACAAACATCTTTCTGGTATTTATTAGATGCATTGAGAAACGGCGAGATCGACTTTGACAAATGTATGAAGTACAATGATGTTATTATGCATGTCCTATAAATGTACAAGGCTTCAAAAAATGCCTTCTACATTGTAGAAAAGAATATGAACATATACGACAGCGACATTAAGCTGATTTTTGGTGTGGACTGTGGCACCAAACCAATGGACATATCATATGGTGCGAAACCAAAGACTGGCATTATAAGGTGCAAAAATGTCAACCGGTTAATTTCAAAATGGATACGCACCCTTTTGACCGAGGCATTGAAAGGCAAAAAGAAAGATGACAACGAAGAAGTCGCTTAACTAGTCTACATGTATGCTTGCTAGAAATTTTTTTTCTCAACAAACAGCAAGACAATAGGATGGGGCTACTACGCACATATGGTTCTATTGGAAAGTATGCAAGAATATGATTGGACCAAACAAATTATAACAATGCTGACATCCTCCATTTTCCCAAAACGACAAAAAAATGGGCAAAAGTCACTCGCTATGTCATGTTATTGATAGTAAGTACCCATGTTCTCAAATAATAACATTCACATCTTCTTGACTTTTGCCCATCTCTGCCAAATGTGAACATTCACATCTGTCTCAATGATGTGAATGTTCATATTCATTTCTGCTTCACTATTGTGAATGTTCACATCTGTACCACTAATATGAATGTTCATATCCATTTATGCTCTACTGCTGTGAATATTCACAACTGTGCCACTGTTATGAATATTCACATCTGTTGATATTGCTCTACAAAGGCTAAATAACATATGTCTTTGTTGTTTTGTTGATGTACTGGTTGTGTGAACACACAACCATCCTACAACCCCACAAGCTCAATGTTATTCCTCGTCGTGTCAAGTGGGACCTGATTGCTTTACAGAACAAGATAAAATCCACTTCTTTAGCTGATATTGGCTTTAATGAGGTATAACCTTCAACTATTGTTCAAAACATTCACATCATGACGCCACCCAAATATGTACGTTAACTAACATAACTTTTTCATTTCAGGTTAACGTCGGTGAACTCTTTGCAACCCCAACAGAATTCTAAAAGTTCAGGCGTACAACATTGAAGGTGGAGCCCGAATGTCATGAACCAACCATCACATCTTCCGACCTCTCTAACATTAAGAAAGAACAACATAGTGGCAGCAATTCTGAATTTCCTGATGAGGGAGTTGACATAAATGACAGTAATGAGAACATTCACATTCCCTTTAGCAGCCCATCCGATGAGAGAGTTATTGTCACAGCAATCACAAACCAACCCGATACCATCAGTATGTTTGTCAAAGAAAATCGGGAGGCTTGGGACATTATAAGGCAGTGGGAAGCAAAATACAAACACCTTGAATTCTTATGGGAGTTAAGGGCAAGAGTGATAGCTGATCTTGAAGATAAACTGTTCAACCAGTCAAGCTCACCCAACATAAACACATAAATAAAAAAGTGCATGGAGCAGAATGAAGCAGAAATTAAGCGCTTAATGTAGCTGGTCATCGACTTAGAATGCGAGAAAACAGTTATTCAGGACCTTTACGATGATCAGTAAGTCCACATTGTCACACAGACCGAGGCGCAAAAGTAACCCTCCATCCCAATGCAACACAATCTCAGCCCACCTTCTAGGGTAAAGCGTATCAAAGAGAAATATCGAAAAGAGAATCGCTTGCCTGACTTCCAATACCCAAACTTACTTGGCCAAAAAACAGAGCATGATGTCCAAACCAGCCCCGTATAGTCTACATAGTTGAAGATGTGGACAAACATCCACTGGTGAAGCACCCAAAAAAAATTATTGACATTGACCAATAAGTTCAAAGTCTGGAGCATGATGTCCAAACAAGACAAGCAAGAGGTCCAAACTTTACAAAAGAGTGGGGGCGATGAGTAAGTGACCGTATGGACATCTAATATGAATATTCACATTCCATAATTGTGAATATTCACATATGTGCTTATTGATTTGATTTGTTCAATTACGTGCAATGTTAATATTTACATGGGTTTACTAAAAATGCACAGGTATTTTGATGACAGGAGACTCGAAGTCTACATACGTGTATTTTGATGACATCGTGTACCTTATCAAGGAGGAATTGATACACAGCAATGTATGCCATTACCAAAATGATTAACTGTTCATGCATATACACACAGACACATACATACATACACACACACACATCGTTCACCCACCACAAATAATATAATACAACCTTATGTTTGTGTAGCTGATAGATGCATATGCCAAACTATTACATAAACAACAAGAGGTGGTCAACCTAACTTTAGATAAAGCCTCATTCATCTTCATGAGCATGTGTTCGGTAAAAGCTCTAACATTTCATTTTTACTAATGTAAATATGAAACTTCACAGTCCATTAATTATTTGTCCAATGTGTGCAGAAAGTGATACAAGAGTGCCCTCATTGTAAAAGAATTAAACACATTGATGCACATGTGAAAAACTACTAAGAAGAGAGATACCTATTATTCCCGTTGCACCATGACTTCTACTGGACGATTGTTGTGTATGATGCTAAAGACAATTTGTGGAAACATTATAACTCATTGCGACTAAGGCTCGGCAAACATGACTCGCATGTCGACCAAGCACAAGAAGTTGTAAGTGGCTTTTATTGTACACAAATATGAATTGTTGTCATGTGTTAAATTCTAAAATAAACACACACACACATATGTTCGTTGGTGCCTAATGTGAAATTCCCTAATGAATTGGAAGCCCGAGAACGTTGTGCACGTTATTGGCAAGGCATTACCGCTATGGACTCAGTTCACAGGCCAAGATTCGTCACAACCAATCATATCAGTTGATGTTTGTCCTTGGTAGGGCGACACCTCATAAGCTTTACAACATTTTATATAAATCCTCCATAACCATTATGCAAACATACATGTCAAGTACTAATCACAACCATTTTAAATTTATAGGGACTACGGGCCTGCCGTATGTTACATCATACGAGCGCACATATACCATGAATAAATTGTTGGCAGCCTCACTAGTTCTGAATGGTGTAGACTACGAGACTTATTAGTACACAGTTTTTTGAATTATAAGAAAACAGCGCGTCATTAAAACCTATAGGTGGGGGGTGTCTACTTACAAACTAACTAACACTCAATGTGAATGTTAATATCAATTGTTTTGATATTTTGACAAACAACAATTGATTGTAAATCAGCGATACAACATCTATTAATGTTCCAATATGCCACTTGTGCATTTTTATCTACATTTGGTGTTGTTATGTTAATTTATATACTTAGTTGAACCAGATTGTTCTATAATACACATATTTTGTGCAGGAATGTTCACATTGTCTACATGACATCATTACGGAGGACATACATGAGTATAAATATTCACATTTGTTATTATTCACAACAGCTGTGAATATTCACACCATGTCAATCTGTATGCATGTGAGAGTTTACATCTCAGTTTATATTCATGTCAACATTGACAACAATAATGTAAAAAGTTCAACCAATATGCGAGTATTCACATAATGTGATTATTTTACAGAAGTGTGAATGTTCACATCATGTATTCATCATTAAAACACTAACAACGTATCAGTTTGCTATTTAAAAACAAAATACAAATCAAATACTAAGTTTGCCAACACAACGTAATCTTATTGCAACATAATGTTTGCCTACACAATACAATCTTATTTCAAAAATCAATATAAGAATCTCATGTAAAACAAAATATTGAAATGAAAAATGTACACCCTATATCGACTCTTTGCATGATTTTCAATTGTGGCTTTCCAACTTATTACATCTTCTGCACCTTATTTGCTTCAGTGTCTCACCCCTTGATGGGATTCTATTATATTTTGGCATATAGAGTGGTATTTTCACAATTGATGGGTGTGTTGTGAAGTTCGTGGGATCAAAATGTGACTTTTCCACCAACGGTATAGGGAATATGGCATCTGAATAGGCTGCATGATACGTCTCTACACGAAAGTAATGTTCCACACAATCATTGAGATTGTAGCGGCTCTTTTGAATATGTAATGACCCCGACCTCTGATTAATGCTAATTCATGATTAATTATGCTTACTAGTAATTTAGGAAGGATTTGGGATTTATTTGCATGTGTATTGCATTATTTATGTGTTTCTATCTGTTTGCGATAAAATGATCTGTTCATGTCTTTGACTTTAAATTGCGAATTGAAAGCCTTATCGGCGTCCGAATCAAAAATCGACTTAATTTATGTGCTAGTTAGGATTTATTGAATTTTATGGTAGGTTTAATTAAAATTTGGTTTGGAGCGATCGAATTAGATTAGATAACATTAAATTACATTAGTTCAATTATTTACAACATTGCCATTAGTGGGCCATTTAGGTACCATTGCTTAGAACTCAATTGCATACACTTCATAACATTTCCTCAGCCATTTTTTTGTGACCAAAAAACGTAGAAAGGGTGAGAGAAGAGAAAACTTACCTTCCATTGAGATTTGGCTTAGAGACTTGAGGAATTGGTAGAAGATTTGCAAAAATTGAGCTTCCTCACCTATAATTCAAGACTTAAGGTAGGAGACTCATCCTCTCACTTATGTATCTGAGTTGTTCTAGCATGGTCCATGGTGATATTAGTGATAGAAGTCTAGTTGTGGCTTAAAATGTTGAATTTAGAGCTAAATCATGCATGCATGTGCATATCTTGAAGTTTAAAGTTGTTTTCATGGAAATTCTTGCATGCATGTTTACATTTTGGTTGAAGTCCATGATTTCATCTTGTTTTTTTTAAAGAATTGGCTCTTAGGAGCATGAATTGGAAGCCTTGAGGTTGATTAAATTCATGCATGTTACATATTCTTCATGTTCTTGAAGTTTATTTGAAAATTGTGTTTAATTGAACTACCTTTGAGCTTTGATTTCTCAAATTAATCTTTGAAACATGTCATATTATGAGTTTACAAGTGTTTTCCAGAAAATTAGCCCAAAATGATCGAATTTGGTACATTATAGTTGAGTTTTGAGCTTGAGGTTCAAATCTGGAAATTCCAGATTTTGGACTCACGCTCAAGCGGAAAACTCCCTGCTCGAGCATACATACTGAGTTCATGCAGTACGCTTGAGTGGGGAAAATGACGCTCGAGCGGAAATTTCGTGTATCCAGTACTTTGCCTGCATTTACAGGCCGCTTGAGCGGGGTAATGCACGCTCAAGTGAGAACTTGTATCTCACGCTCGAGCGGGTATCGAGCGCCCATCGAGCATGAATTTCTTGCATCTAGTACTTTTACTGTAGCTTGCAGTCCACTCGAGCGGAGTAATACATGCTCGAGCAGATTCTTTTTGTCTGCATGTCCGCTCGAGCGTAGAAGGCCACGCTCGAGCGAGACCCCTGTTTCAGCAAAATTCTGAAAAGTGTTTTAAAGCGCATCTTTGCATCCTCATTCCATCATAGGCATTCCTAGGCCATGTTTTAGACTCTATAGTGAGGGTAAGAAATTAGAAACACACTAAGAGCTAATGAAATAAGTTTTGTACAATTAGAACGTGTGTTTCAAGTATTTATCTGTCTGTTATGTGTCATGTAGGTCACGTGCCACGTCTTGTCTGATCGATCTGCTCTGTCTGTCTATCTCCAAGCCCACTGTGAGTAATAACTCTGTAAAGTTATGTTTAACCTAAGTATTTTCTGACTGGTATGGTATAATCTGTTTTCTAAAATGCTATCTTACTAATAATAAATGAATGTCCAATTTTCTGAAAAGTATTTATGGCACCCTTAGTTCACGTGGCCCTCGCCCAGGGGTAACAATACCGCGGCCAATCTGCACGTGGCCCTTGCCTGGGGGCAACAATACCATAGCTACTTGCACGCAATTTATGGACCTTTGTGGTCGTTGGTACCAACTATGTATGTGGGTCTCTTGACCAATCTGTTCTGATAGCTAATGGGTGTAGCACGTATGATTTTATGCAAAATCTGAATATGAAAGTGTATATGAATCTGTTTCTGTTTTAAAGTCTGATTATGCTCTAATTTAAATGCTGGATTCTAACTTGTGCTAGACATCATTCATATAACCCCTTTACTCTGTTATTATTCACTGGGCTTTCGCTCATAGTTTATATTGTGTATGTAGGTGAGCCAGCACATGACCAGGGCTAGAGTTGATGGCCCTCTGTACCGTTTTGTCAGCCAACCCTTGTGCCTCCTGAGGAGGTTCCGATCGAAGTTTAATTCCAAGGCTGTTTTTCTTTTCATGCTAGTCTCTGTAACTGTTTGTAAAGTTAGATCTTGAGAAGTTCACTTCTGTAAATATTCTGTAAATATTGTGTATCTGGACTGGCATGTTTATATATCTATATATAAGTTTTAAAATGTTCCATCCCATGTACGTTATCACAGCTCATTGGACCTTGTCTATTTTGTATTATTGCTTTCGCAGCCCCTTATTATTTGTTAATCTGTTCAGAGGCCTTTGGTAATCCACGGATTACTGGCCGGTTACGGTGCTAAACCTACAGGGGCAGGTTTGGGTCGTGACAGAATAGCAATAACAACATGATTATATGGGAATTCATTGATTTGCCAATTAAAGCAAGAACACGTACGCCTTGCAATATCAATTGTAACAGATGGTATCGAATGAACCCCAAACACATCCTCATTGGCTTTGCTAACTTGCCAAGACCTGCTGTCGTTGAGTGAATCAAGAAGCATTGTTTCGAATATAGGACAAATAAGCTCATTCCACGTGTTTGCTTGGTCACGCCGCGCAGACATTTGCTGCAACAACTGAATACGAATTGTGTCCATCATCCGAGTGATAGGAAGATTGCGTGCTTCTTTAATCCAATCATTAAATGACTCTGTCACATTGGATGCCATCTCATTACAAGAAAAAACACTTTTGGCGACCACCTATTTTGAGTTGGTCGCAAATAGTCTACTTTCAACGACAAAATTTTTTTGGTCGCTGATGGGTATATTTTCGCGACCCACAATTTTTTGGTGGCTAATAGCTAAATTTTGGCGACCAAATACAAATTTGGTCGCAGAAGGTCGTCTTTTGGCGACCAAAAAATTAAGTTGGCTGCGAATGACTTAACTATTGGTAACCAAGTACAAATTTGGTCGCGGAAGATCACCTTTTGGCGACAAAAAATAAGTTGGTCGCGAATGACTTAATTATTGGTGACCAACTACAAATTTGGTCGTGAAAAGTTATGGTGGGATTAAAAAAAAAAAAAAGGGTACTACTGTAAATACATTCAATTTTCTGTTTAGGCATTGAAGGTTTTATGAAATAATATATAAAGCAAATTTTATGGGTTATATATTTTCTTTGCCAAATGTGAACAACAAACATGTTATTGGCAGAGTGGATTGGGCGCATGGAGAGTGACTCCTTGGTCAAGAGTTTAATTTCCAGGCAGCGCAAAAGAATATTTTTCTTTGGGTGAAGGCGCTGACTTTTGGTGACCAATTATAACTTTGGTCACTAAAAGTTACCTTTTGGCTAATATGAATTGGACTTTCCGCGACCAATTATTTGGTCGCCAATGGTCTCTTTTAGCGACCAACTATAACTTTGGTCGCAGAAAACTATCTGTGACGAGGCTTTAGTGACCAACTTGCAACCAACACATTTTGGCTGTGAAAAGATTTTAGCGACCAAATCTGGTACTTTTCGCGACCAAAACGTTAGTAGCAGAAAATGTAATTTCCTGTAGTGTCTCCCCATAACGCATGCCTCTGCACAACATCACAAACATTGTACAATACTAAATTTATTTTCTTCAAAACTGAATATGAAATTTCACATCGCCACAAAACATAACTAAAATTCCACATTGCTACCATTCTAAACTTGACAAATTGAATACATTAGAGAACTACTATTACCTGAAGTATGAATTCGCCCAGTGCTTAGGTGCCAACTCCTTAAAAAAATTATGTGCTCATTGCTTACCCTCATTTTTTTTATTTCTCAAGCTTTTCATGGAACCCTACCACAGTTGGCTCGTAAGCACAGTCACCCAAACTACTAACCAGGTGGTCCCTAAATCCATTATCAATTCCCTTCATCCGGTCTCTTAAATTGTTCTTCAAGTGTTGTAAGTAATAACCTTTATGAGCAAATGAGAACACCTTCGGCATCGCTTCTAACAGACCAAGATTACGGTACGAAATAAAAGTAATTTGATGCTTACCATCAACAAACTTCCTAAGTTCGTGCAAGAACCATGACCAATTGGTTGTGGTCTTTGAATCAATAATCACAAATGCAACATGGAATAGACCTACAACACAACACTATTAAACAACTGATCACAATATTCCAATGTGAATATGAACACAAGTAGTGTACAAAAACACTATAAAGTAAAAAGGGCATGTGAATGTTCACATTGTGCAATTATCAGTCATATATCTACACTATGCCGCTCAATGTGAATATTTACATAGATACACAGCTAAAAAAATACCAACCATTGTTTCCATCTTTTGCTATTGCCGCAAGTAACTGACCTTTGTACTTTCCTTTGAGGAATGTTCCATCAAGGAATAATAAAGACCGACAAGAATTGTACCCAGAAATACACGCAGCGAATTATACAAAGAAACGATAAAACTATTGACTACTCGTGTCATAGTTAATATTGACATAATCCCTGGATTGTAACGCATCACAGCATCCGAATACCACCGCAACTGGTCAAATGATAATGAGTGATCTCCATGAATAACAACCTTTGCTTTCTCCACGCCCAACCATACCACGTGGTAACTCACATCTAGCCATAATCTCTTTTCAAAATAGTCACCACCTCACACAGCTGAGTCAACGGCTTGTCCCTCACAATTTCTAATATAGTACTCGACACCAAATCAGAACTAACTCTCGAATTCTTCGATGTTCAGACATCCGTACCATAATTATGCACATCACTGAACCTCTTGATGTAGAAAAAACCATTTGTTCATTGTGTTCTACAATGTATAGCCTTCTCTCTCCTCGCGTATTGCACATACCACAGTAACCCTTGTTGTATTGTTCTCGACATACGTAAACTGAAATCCGTATTTAAGCCTTACAACATTTTATATAAATCCTCCATAACCATTATGCAAACATACATGTCAAGTACTAATCATAACCATTTTAAAATTTATAGGGACTACGGGCCTGCCGTATGTTACATCATGCGAGCGCACATATACCATGAATAAATTGTTGGTAGCCTCACTAGTTCTAAATGGTGTGGACTACGAGACTTATTAGTACACAGATTTTTGAATTATAAGAAAACAATGCGTCATTAAAACCTATAGGTGGGGGGTGTCTACCTACAAACTAACTAACACTCAATGTGAATGTTAATATCAATTGTTTTGATATTTTGACAAACAACAATTGATTGTAAATCAGCGATACAACATCTATTAATGTTCCAATATGCCACTTGTGCATTTTTATCTACATTTGGTGTTGTTATGTTAATTTATATACTTAGTTGAACCAGATTGTTCTATAATACACATATTTTGTGCAGGAATGTTCACATTGTCTACATGACATCATTACGGAGGACATACATGAGTATAAATATTCACATTTGTTATTATTCACAACAGCTGTGAATATTCACACCATGTCAATCTGTATGCATGTGAGAGTTTACATCTCAGTTTATATTCATGTCAACATTGACAACAATAATGTAAAAAGTTCAACCAATATGCGAGTATTCACATAATGTGATTATTTTACAGAAGTGTGAATGTTCACATCATGTATTCATCATTAAAACACTAACAACGTATCAATTTGCTATCTAAAAAAAAAATACAAATCAAATACTAAGTTTGCCAACACAACATAATCTTATTGCAACATAATGTTTGCCTACAAAACACAATCTTATTTCAAAAATCAATATAAGAATCTCATGTAAAACAAAATATTGAAATGAAAAATGTACACTCTATATCGACTCTTTGCATGATTTTCAATTGTGGCTTTCCAACTTATTACATCTTTCGCACCTTATTTGCTTCAGTGTCTCACCTCTTGATGGGATTCTATTCTTTTTTGACATGTCGGGTGGTATTTTCACAATTGATGGGTGTGTTGTGAAGTTTGTGGGATCAAAATGTGACTTTTCCACCAACGGTATAGGGAATATGGCATCCGAATAGGCTGCACAATACGTCTCTACACGAAAGTAATGTTCCACATAATCATTTAGATTGTAGCGGCTCTTTTGAATATGTAATGACCTCGACCTCTGATTAATGCTAATTCATGATTAATTATGCTTACTAGTAATTTAGGAAAGATTTGGGATTTATTTGCATGTGTATTGTATTATTTATGTGTTTCTATCTGTTTGCGATAAAATGATCTGTTCATGTCTTTGACTTTAAATTGCGAATTGAAAGCCTTATCGGCGTCCAAATCAGAAATCGACTTGATTTATGTGCTAGTTAGGATTTATAGAATTTTATGGTAGGTTCATTTAAAATTCGGTTTGGAGCGATCGAATTAGATTAGATAACGTTAAATTACATTAGTTCAATTATTTACAACATTGCCATTGGTGGGCCACTTAGGTACCATTGCTTGGAACTCAATTGCATACACTTCATAATATTTCCTCAGCCATTTTTTTGTGACCAAAAACGTAGAAAAGAGTGAGATAAGAGAAAACTTACCTTCCATTGAGATTTGGCTTAAAGACTTGAGGAATTGGTAGAAGATTTGCAAAAATTGAGCTTCCTCACCTATAATTCAAGACTTAAGGTAGGAGACTTGTCACGACCCGAACCCGCTCCTCTGGGTTAAGGCCATAACCGGCTAGTAATCACGAGATTACCTACGGCCTCAAACCAAAACAGACTTAACACACCAGAGTGAAAGGGGCCAAACGGAAGCAATTTTAAAACTTTGTCCATAGAGCCGTGCTTATATGCACATCATAACATTCCAGACATACATATGTTAATAACTCGCAACAGAAAGTATAGTAACATAAGTACTGTACAGACAGAATCATTCAAATCTAAGTCAGCCAAGCAAAACTACATACAAACGTATTCAAAACTTCGCCAACCTGACAAAATGTAAATACATGACAAAAGGGCGAAGATGGGTCTCGTGCGTGAGACACAAGGGCTGACTCTCTCAAAACCTTACTTGTTCCATACAGACTTCACTGAGGCTGGGTCTGGACTTCTCTTGGCTCACCTACAAACACGTGAATGAGCGTGAGCGATAGCCCAATGAATAATATCAAATAAAGAATATACATTGGAACAATGTACATCAAACGGCCTTGGGCCCCATTTACATTTTAACTAGTATATACATACATACACACATGTAAGTTAAGTAACTGAGGTTCCAAACACATCATACGGCCTCGGGCCCAATTCATTCATTTCATTGTCAAACTATTACTCGTGTCAAACTGGCCTTCAACATTTTCAAACTTTCATATCAAACTGGCCCTTAGGCCTATTTACACTTTCGTGTCGAAACGGCCTCTGGCCTATTCATTCATGTATTGTCAAAACGACATTCGGTCCATTCATTTATGTCAAAACGACCTTCGGTCTATTCATTTGTGCCAAAACGGCCTTCGGCCCAATTACTTATGTCAAAACGGCCTTCGACCCAATCATTCATGTCAAAACGACCTTAGGTCCATTCGTATATATCAAAACGACCTTCGGTCCACTCATTTCTATCAAAACGGCCTTCGGCCCAATCACTTATGTCAAAACGGCCTTCGGCCCAATCATTCATGTCAAAACGCCCTTAGGTCCATTCGTATATATCAAAACGACCTTCGGTCCACTCATTTCTATCAAAACGGCCTTCGGCCTAATCACTTATGTCAAAACGGCCTTCGGCCCAATCATTCATATCAAAATGACCTTCGGTCCATTCGCTTACGTCAAAACGGCCTTCGGCCCATACATTCGTGTCAAAACGGCCTTCGGCCCACTCATTCATTTCAAAATGACCTCAGGTCCATTTATTTCTATTAAAACGACCTTAGGTCCATTTATTCATATCGAAACGACCTTCGGTCCATTCATTCGTTCATGTCAGACTTTTGTCCACAATCCCAATTAGCAACTCATAAAGCTTATAAGGGAATAATAATTGGACATTCACAATCATTCAAATATCGATATTACTCACAGTGATCGGCTTGTGGATTTGCCCTGGAGCTTGACCCTACACATTCCATGAACACAAAAGGGTCATTAACAATTCAATCCGTTCTTTAATTCACATATTCCTCTTTAGGCTTTATCCTTATCTCATTAACTCATTTACAATGCTTAACATATGCCTAAGAGCGCTTACAAGTGAAAGAGAATGGAAAACGAAACACAGAACGAGCATACAAAATTTCAGAGAACAGGGTCCCCGCTCGAGCGTGGACTTCCCCGCTCAAGCGGACCCTATAGGCCTGCAAAAGTGCTGGTTGCATCAAAAATACGCTCGAGCGTGAAATAGGACGCTCGAGCGGAAGGCCTATCAAAATAGCTCCCATGCTTGAGCGTTAATTATCCAGCTTGAGCGGACATCAAGTCTGCAAAAAGTACTGGGAGCACGCATTTCCCGCTCGAGCGTCAGGTTCCCCGCTCGAGCGGACCTCAAAATTCCAGAAAACCCAGAACTGTGTTCTTGAGCTCCAATTTGATTTTTAACCAACAAAACATGCATGTTATGGCTCAAATCTCAAATATAATTATACTAACATGATGTAAACCTTAAATCACAACCCAATGAAGCTCAATTCACAAGTAATTCACATGTATACCCCAAAATATGTCAAACTCATCACCAACATGCTTAAATTCAAACATTCAAGACTTACTCTTCCATAATTTGTACATGCATGTGGGAGATGCTCACCATTCTCAACTTAGATAGCACAAATGATGATTATAACATGAGCTTCAATTAAAATTGTACATGATTATACATTTTCATGCTCAAACATGCAAATTCAAGGTACTTTCTTACATGCATGCATATATAGTCTTCAAATTCATCAAAACCAACTCCTTTCGTGTTCTATATCATAAATTAATCTTCAATTCACGAAATCACAACTCAAATTCATGAGTTAGGGGTTGGTTACTCACCTAGGAGCTTTAATCTTCCAAACTCTAGTCAATTCTTGAGTTAAATCTTCAAATTCCCAAGCTAGAGCCAAAAATTGCTCAAGCTTCTTCCTTTCTCTCTCTATGGCCGGCCTCTCTCTCCCTCTCAATTGTCTAACTCAGATTTTGAGTTTTAAGAGAGCTAAAGGAAAGTGCAATGCAAATATACCACAAGCCCCTCTAACAAATATTTTAATATAAAATAATGGGGTACTTAATTTATCAATTTAATCAGTTTAAATTGACCAGAATCAATTTTCAATTAAATTTCACTGTAGGCTCTAAAAATTATGCCAACCACAATGGCGTAATCAATTTCGAGTTCTGTGGCCGATAAGGCCCTCAATTTAATTTCCAGAGCAGATTATTCAAACAGATATTCCTACGGTGAACAGGTAGAATTCCAAAATCGCATATATTCACATAATGACACACAAAAATCATATCAAAACATATAATCACATACGTATTAGGGACCAATTAGCATATTACGGAATAGGGGTATCACAAGACTCATCCTCTCATTTATGTATCTGAGTTGTTCTAGCATGGTCCATGGTGATATTAGTGATAGAAGTCTAGTTGTGGCTTAAAATGTTGAATTTAGAGCTAAATCATGCATGCATGTGCATATCTTGAAGTTTAAAGTTATTTTCATGGAAATTCTTGCATGCATATTTACATTTTGGTTGAAGTCCATGATTTCATCTTGTTTTTGAAAGAATTGGCTCTTAGGAGCATGAATTGAAAGCCTTGAGGTTGATTAAATTCATGCATGTTACATATTCTTCATGTTCTTGAAGTTTATTTGAAAATTGTGTTTAATTGAACTACCTTTGGGCTTTAATTTCTCAAATTGATCTTTGAAACATGTCATATTATGAGTTTACAAGTGTTTTCCAGAAAATTAGCCCAAAATGATCGAATTTGGTGCATTATAGTTGAGTTTTGAGCTTGAGATTCAAATCTGAAAATTTCAAATTTTGGACTCACGCTCAAGCGGAAAACTCCCCGCTCGAGCATACATACTGAGTTCATGTAGTACGCTCGAGCGGGGAAAATGACGCTCGAGCGGAAATTTCGTGTATCTAGTACTTTGCCTGCGTTTACAGGCCGCTCGAGCGGGGTAATGCACGCTCGAGCGAGAGCTTGTGTCTCACGCTCGAGCGGGTATCGAGCGTGAATTTCTTGCATCCAGTACTTTTACTGTAGCTTGCAGTCCGCTCGAGCGGAGTAATACATGCTCGAGCGAATTCCTTTTGTCTGCATGTCCGCTCGAGCGTAGAAGGCCAAGCTCGAGCGGGACCCCTGTTTCAGCAAAATTCTGAAAAGTGTTTTAAAGCGCATCTTTGCATCCTCATTCCATCCTAGGCATTCCTAGGCCATGTTTTAGACTTTATAGTGAGGGTAAGAAATTAGAAACACACTAAGAGCCAATGAAATAAGTTTTGTACAATTAGAACGTGTGTTTCAAGTGTATATCTGTTATGTGTCGGGTAGGTCACGTGCCACGTCCTGTCTGATCGATTTGCTCTATCTGTCTGTCTCCAAGCCCACTGTGAGTAATAACTCTGTAAAGTTATGTTTAACCTAAGTATTTTCTGACTAGTATGGTATAATCTATTTTTTGAAATGCTATCTTACTAATGATGAATGAATGTCCAATTTTCTTCACGTGGCCCTTGCCCGGGGGTAACAATACCGCGGCCAATCTGCACGTGGCCCTTGCTTGGGGGTAACAATACCATAGCTACTTGCGTGCAATTTATGGACCTTTGTGGTCGTTGGTACCAACTATGTATGTGGGTCTCTTGACCAATCTGTTCTGATAGCTAATAGGTGTACCACGTATGATCTTATACAAAATCTGAATATGAAAGTGTATATGAATCTGTTTCTGTTTTGAAGTCTGATTATGCTCTGATTTAAATGCTGGATTCTAACTTGTGTTGGACATCATTCATATAACCCCTTTACTCTGTTATTATACACTGGGCTTTCGCTCACAGTTTATATTGTGTATGTAGGTGAGCCAGCACATGACCAGGGCCAGAGTTGATGGCCCTCTCTACCGTTTTGTCAGCCAACCCTTGTGCCTCCCGAGGAGGTTCCGATCTAAGTTTAATGCCAAGGCTGTTTTTCTTTTCATGCTAGTCTCTGTAACTGTTTATAAAGTCAGATCTTGGGAAGTTCACTTCTGTAAATATTCTGTAAATATTGTGTATCTGGACTGGCATGTTTATATATCTATAAATAAGTTTTAAAATGTTCCGTCCCATGTACGTTATCACAGCTCATTAGACCTTGTCTATTTTGTATTATTGCTTACGCAGCCCCTTATTATTTGTTAATCTGTTTAGAGGCCTTTGGTAATCCACGGATTACTGGTCGGTTACGGTGCTAAACCTACAGGGGCGGATTTGGGTCGTGACAAAATAGCAATAACAACATGATTATATAAGAATTCATTGATTTGCCAATTAAAGCAAGAACATGTACGCCTTACAATATCAATTGTAACAGATGGTATCGAATGAACCTCAAACACATCCTCATTGGCTTTGCTAACTTGCCAAGACCTGCTGTCGTTGAGTGAATCAAGAAGCATTGTTTTGAATATAGGACAAATAAGCTCATTCCATTTGTTTGCTTGGTCACGCCGCGCAGACATTTGCCGCATCAACTGAATACGAATTGTGTCCATCATCCGAGTGATAGGAATATTGTGTGCGTCTTTAATCCAATCATTAAATGACTCTGTCACATTGGATGTCATCTCATTACAAGAAAAAACACTTTTGGCGACCACCTATTTTGAGTTGGTCGCAAATAGTCTACTTTCTACGACAAAAATTTTTTTGGTCCCTGATGGCTATATTTTCGTGACCCACAATTTTTTGGTGGCTAATAGCTAATTTTTGGCGACCAAATACAAATTTGGTCGCAGAAGGTCGTCTTTTGGCGACCAAAAAATTAAGTTGGCCGCGAATGACTTAACTATTGGCAACCAACTACAAATTTGGTCGCGAAAGATCACCTTTTGGCGACCAAAAAATAAGTTGGTCGCGAATGACTTAATTATTGGTGACCAACTACAAATTTGGTCGCAAAAAGTAATGGTGGGATAAAAAAAAAAAAAAGGATACTACTGTAAATACATTCAATTTTCTGTTTAGGCATTGAAGGTCTTATGAAATAATATATAGCCCAAATTTTATGGGTTATATATTTTCTTTGCCAAATGTGAACAACAAACATGTTATTGGCATAGTGGATTGGGCGCATGGAGAATGACTCCTTGGTCAAGAGTTTAACTTCCAGGCAGCGCAAAAGAATATTTTTCTTTGGGTGAAGGCGCTGACTTTTGGTGACCAACTATAACTTTGGTCACTAAAAGTTACCTTTTGGCTAATATGGATTGGACTTTCCGCGACCAATTATTTGGTCGCCAATGGTCCCTTTTAGTGACCAACTATAACTTTGGTCGCAGAAAACTATCTGTGACGAGGCTTTAGTGACCAACTTGCAACCAACACATTTTGGCCGTGAAGAGATTTTAGCGACCAAATCTGGTACTTTTCGCGACCAAAACGTTAGTAGCGGAAAGTGTAATTTCCTGTAGCGTCTCCCCATAACGTATGCCTCTGCACAACATCACAAACATTGTACAATACTAAATTTATTTTCTTCGAAACTGAATATGAAATTTTACATCGCCACAAAACATAACTAAAATTCCACATTGCTACCATTCTAAACTTGACAAATTGAATACATTAGAGAACTACTATTACCTGAAGTATGAATTCGCCCAGTGCTCAGGTGCCAACTCTTTAAAAAAATTATGTGCTCATTGCTTACCCTCATTTTTTAATTTCTCAAGCTTTTCATGGAATCCTACCACAGTTGGCTTGTAAGCACAGTCACCCAAACTACTAACCAGGTGGTCCCTAAATCCATTATCAATTCCCTTCATCCGGTTTCTTAAATTGTTCTTCAAGTGTTGTAAGTAATAACCTTGATGAGCAAATGGGAACACCTTCGGGATCGCTTCTAACAGACCAAGATTACGGTACGAAATAAAAGTAATTTGACGCTTACCATCAACAACCTTCCCAAGTTCGTGCAAGAACCATGACCAATTGGTTGTGGTCTTTGAATCAATAATCACAAATGCAACAGGGAATAGACCTACAACACAACACCATTAAACAACTGATCACAATATTCCAATGTGAATATTTACGCAAGTAGTGTACAAAAACACTATAAAGTAAAAAGGGCATGTGAATGTTCACATTGTGCAATTATCAGTCATATATCTACACTATGCCGCTCAATGTGAATATTTACATAGATACACAGCTAAAAAAATACCAACCATTGTTTCCATCTTTTGCTATTGCCGCAAGCAACTGACCTTTGTACTTTCCTTTGAGGAATGTTCCATCAAGGAATAATAAAGACCGACAAGAATTGTACCCAGAAATACACGCAGCGAATTATACAAAGAAACGACAAAACTGTTGACTACTCGCGTCATAGTCAATATTGACATAATCCCCGGATTGTAACGCATCACAGCATCCGAATACCACTGCAACTGGTCAAATGATAATGAGTGATCTCCATGAATAACAACCTTTGCTTTCACCACGCCCAACCATACCACGTGGTAACTCACATCTAGCCCATAACCTCTCTTCAAAATAGTCACCACCTCATACGGCTGAGTCAACGGCTTGTCCCTCACAATTTCTAATATAGTTCTCGACACCAAATCAGAACTAACTCTCGGATTCTTCGATGTTCAGACATCCGTACCATAATTATGCACATCACTGAACCTTTTGATGTAGAAAAAACCATTTGCTCATTATGTTCTATAATGTATAGCCTTCTCTCTCCTCGCGTATTGCACATACCACAGTAACCCTTGTTGTATTGTTCTCGACATACGTAAACTGAAATCCGTATTGGATTGCATACTTACATAAAACATCACGAAATTTTTGTGCACCTCCTACAGAGCATTGTCCCACATGTGTAATACCATTTGCCCAAGGGGTTGACAATAAGACCTTCTCCTTCTGGTGGCAAAATCTCCGAAGTGCATCAATTTTTTCCTTATCTCCCACACGCAGCGACCCAGAGCTACTCGACTGACCAATATCACTTTTCAAATCAACGACAACCTCTACATGGTGTATCCCTATTGATTTGGCAAGCAATAACATGTTCTGAAATTCTTCGTTGTTGTCAAAATCACACTTTTTAATCCCAGGTAATCGACAGAACAATGAAACAGAACAAGCAGACAACTCGTCCAATTTCTCACACAAACACTCTACCAAGCGCGAATAACACAATGTGCGAACCGTATTTATTACAATTGAACTACAACCATATGTTCACACCAACATCATAAAGGTATCAATCTCCTGTAAAAACAAAACAAAACAAAACAAAACAAAACAAAACAACCACGTAACAACCATACGAACAACAATACATATAATAATCAATATTATATGAACATTCACATTATATAAACTACATGCCTATGTGTACAGTTCCACTACTAAATCCATAATGAAAATTACCACCATTATCCTTGCCCAACATAAAACATTTTACAAGTTCAAAATCACACCACAAGAATGATGTCATAGTACACAATATGCATACAACCCTCCATAACCTCATATTAATAAGATGTGAACATCCACATTGAGCAAGCATAAAAAACTCATCAAAAAAACACTTGCATTACCACATACATCAAAACATAACATAAAACGAATATACATTCATACACAATGTATATGCCTATATGTACATTTGATACTGCTAAATCCAAACTCAAAATATCACCATCATCATTACCAATAAGATGTGAACATCCACATTGTTCACTTAATCCAAATTACTTCCCCATTACAGAGCCATGCAAAATGCATATGAATAAAAAAAATAGAACATCTGATCTACGTACTTCAAACACCATATCATCCAATTCATCACATAATTCAAAACATAAATTGAATATGCATTTAACATCAAAATGATACTAACATTGATCATTGAATCCTGCACTCATCATCTTCCTCGAAAATGACTGATTTGAATCAGTTACACTCCAAACAATGTCACAACCGAACACCATTTGAACGAGCCACAACAACAACAATGTAACCCCAGCACACGCCAGCCTTAAAACGAGTCAGCAAAATTGAAATGTATCCAACTGAATCAGAATCATAACGAAAAGCGTGAATACAACAACCTACCAAAACAGAATTAACAAAGAACAAGGGCACGCCTATATCTGTTATGTGTATCAACAATATATATAAAGGTATAATAGTTTATTAAAAATAATAAAATGAGGAAAAAGGATCTCATGCAATAAAAAGATAAATACACGGGATTAATCAGACTATATTAATCATTTGTAGAGCTAATAGGTTAGAACAACTCTAAAATGAATCTATCAATAAAAATCCCAATAAAGAATTTATAAAATGAATTATTTATAATTTTTGAAATCATAAACAAGTATCAAGTAAAAACAAATGATTCATATGTAATTTGCAAAGCATTCCACATTTTGGGAACTCTTCACTCTCATACTCTCTGTGTGCGTGTGCGTGTGTGTGTGTGTGTGTGTTCTAGAAGAAAAAGAAAGAAATGTCAGGGTCTCAGTGCTGCGAGAACCCACCAGCAGCCCTGAGTGCAAGCTGCGGAGGATCAGGGTCCCTTGTGGAACTTGCAGGCCTCAAGGTCTACGCTACTGGTTCACCAGACTCCAACTTTGCAATCCTTCTAATTTCAGACGTTTTTGGTAATCACCCACTTCTCCATTCCTCTTCCAATCCATAATTCCTGTGTTTCAATCTCACTTTTGTTCATTTTTTTCATATGGGTTTTGCTCAATTTGGGTTTTGCTAAGTAGATTTTGGGAATCATCCTCATCCTCGCAGTCACAACAACTATTATTTGGTGCTTGAAGGTGTTTTTATTTACTTGCTTGTGTGAAATCACCCAAACCAAATTTGGGCAAAATTTTACAGGAATCCCCTTTACTAAGTAGTGATATATTTACCTATTTATGGCAGTGATTCCATTATATTCCTTTAAAGAGTTTTTACTCTTTTCTACAAATGTTTTGTCAGTGCTTATATACTATATTTTTTAATTTTAAAATCTGATACTATTTATAAACTAATATTATATATATTTGACTGAGACCACTATGACTGTATTTGTACTCTGTTTCTCAAACAGTCTCTCAAGAAAGTTATGGAACTTACATTAAGGTTTTCCCTAATATGATGGATGATTGAATCAGAAAAAGAGATATGTTATTGATATTCCGAGGTACATAAATTGAAGAAATTGCAAAATTTAAGCTGAAAAAGAAGCCATATCCGAGTGCATCTCTTTATGGACTTGTTACATATATTCATACTGGACAAATTCCAGCCTTTTTTTAAAATCCAACTAGCATCTAAAATAAACATGGATTATATTATACATAAAAATATGTTCCAGTAAATCATTTATACTTTCTAGCATTTTATTTTATTTTTATTGTTTTGTTGCGTATTTGCTTACAGTTATTGACTTGTTTTTGGCAGGTTATGAAGCACCGAACCTTAGGTATGTCTTCTTATCAACCATTTACCTTCGGAATTTATATTGATGACATAGAACACATGATTTCCTCATTTATCCAACTCGTGTGATGGGGATTGGAAAGGTATTGGATGACAATAAAATGAAGAATATGTGAATTATTAGGAATAGGATTTTATTTCCATAAACCCTAGTCGTGGTTCTTGTGTCATTTTTGTCTTTTGGTTCTACACCATCGTGTTGTTTGGACATAAGAACGGCTGTTTGTCAGGCTCATTCCAGAATACGAGATGCACATTTATGTTTTCAAACTTTGCTATATTTATCATTTTTTCTATTAAGCTGTAATGGACTGATTCAGAATTTTCAATTGAAAAATAGCTAAAGTACTGCCAATTTCTTCCACGAGTCACGCCTGATCTTTGAGCATGACTGTGCTCCATGCACCCATTATTGATTTAGGCTACTTTTGTTATCTTTACCAATAAATTTTCTTACTTTTTGATCTTAGCATTACTCGTAGAACAAAACCAGAAAGAAGAATAAATGTAGTATTTGTTTTTTTTGCAGTGATTCTGCTTTTCAGCATTATTGTCATTGTTGCTGCTGCTACTGTGGTTGCCTTTTACGTTGTTGTTTATTTCCAAACATCAGGATTACGACACAAAATTGTTACTTCTGTGCACTAAGTTTGATAGATTTATATGCATTTTGGATATTTGTTTCTAAGACTAAAATCAGATTTTGTCAACTATTGATTCGAAGGAAGCTTGCTGACAAGGTTGCAGCTGCTGGGTTCTATGTGGTGGTTCCAGACTTTTTTTACGGAGATCCCTATAAACCAGAGAACACTGAGAAGCCTCTGCCAGTCTGGATACAATCTCATGGAACAGTTTGTCCCTGACTTTATGCAATTAAAGTGGAAATGTCATAGCTTTTATTAAATTTTTCACTGATCTTACTATTGACAGTTGAATGAAAATTGTGGCCCCCCTCTCTGTCTCTCTTGCTGTTTCATTGTCATGGCTCGATTTATTGCATTTATATAAGGATCATTGCTAATGACTGCCCACTGGGCCTGGTTGTTTGTTAAGAATCGAATAATGTCAAAAAGGTTAGGCTCCATTTGGATGGAGGTGAATTTCAAATCAAGGGATTTGAGATTAAAAATATTGGTGAATTAACTGTGATAGGTGGAGAGAGAAAATATAAAAGATAAGTTGAGGTAAAAGAGATGTACTTTAGTACGATCCTTGTTGTTAGAAGAGAATTCTTAGCATGATTTCAAATAACTACTTTTATTATGTGTAGTTATTTCAAATCCATCATAATAAAGCTATTTAATTCAATCTTGAAATTCATAGGTAAATTACAAAAACTAAATTTGAGTTATTCTCCTTGAATAATTAATGTAAAATACATATACGTATTTTACGTCCACATCCACCAAACAGAGCCTTAGGATTCCAAAATACATGTAATGTATTCCCGTACACTCTCTTATATATTTTCATATATTTTAATTAATGTAAAAAAAGTTAGTATTCCCCTTTATATGATTATGCAATCAAATCATTTTTCAGCAATATATGGTCACACAAATATGCTAAAAGCTACGATTATCATTTTGTTCATTGTTCCTCTCAGGATAAAGGATTTGAAGATGCAAAACCAGTCATTGCAGCTCTGAAAAATAAAGGAATCTCTGCGATTGGAGCTGCAGGATTTTGCTGGGGTGGTGAGTTTTGCTTTTACTAGCCTCTCTAATAGCTAGAATATTTCATATTATCGAGCACTTTTGGCTCGACCCTTTGTGAATACATCGAAATTACCAATTAATACAGTGAACCTGCATTCTGACTTCTTGATATGTTATCAGCCAAGGTGGTCGTGGAACTATCAAAGTCTGATTACCTTCAAGCTGCGGTACTGTTACACCCTTCCCTCGTCACTGTGGATGATATTAAGGGTACCTACTTCCACGATATACTCTTTTGCTAGAAGCTTAGTGTGCCTTTCCTTAGTTTGTCATATTTTTTATTTTCTTGATTAGTACATGCGTTGCCTTATTTTAGAGATTAGATGCTGGGGTTTCTATCAGTGGGATTAGGATTTACATCAAATTGCTTGGTTCAGATTTTGATAGGAATAAATAGTTGGTTTACGTTATGGAAAAAAGACATGTATATGTGATATTAGTTATTGACTTGACTAGTTAGATATGTGAACCAAAGCTATATCTAATTTGCTCCATTGTGAATTTTGATGGAGATTCCAATAGGAATCCTTCTGTCTCGTTTGTGACTGTAAGTTGAATGAATAAAAAGATAAAATCACGAAAAGATCAAAGAATTCAAAGAACGGTTCGGAACAAAGAAATGGAAGAACAAAAGTTATAGGGATTCACAAAGACTCTATGGATAGAAGATATCAAAGTAGTTCTGATGATTCAATAATATTTTGACTCCAATTCGAAGATCTATTCAGGATGAAGTAAAGGGCCTTTAGGCCATATGTAGGGTCATTAGTTAGCTACTTAAAGTTAAAAAATATGACAAAAACTTGTCAATTAATTGTATCAGAAGCAAAATCGGTGGGCTAAGGGTGGAAGTGGCATACACGAAGTAATTGAATTCAGACAATGCCACTCAGTACATATATAACAAAATTCAGATAGGGACTTCTCTTTCATGCCCTCTAGATTATAATTTACATGTGAATCTGTGATGCCACTTCATTGGATTCTCCATTAGGCTTATTACGGGAAATTGGAAACTACGTTTTTTATTCTTACATGGCTTCCTCTTCAGTGAAGTTCATAAGAAAACCACACTAGTACTCCAAAATTGCATATACTTTCAGAGTCAACCTAAATAACCTCTAATCTGTTGTCCTGAAACACTATTAATTGGGTTTTCTGAACCAGCTAATTGTTCAAATGTCTGGTTTAAGAGAGATAATAAGTCTATAATTCATCACATCTACTTGATTGATTTAACAAATGCAAATTGTCATTTGTTTTTCAGAACTGAAGGTTCCAATTGCTATATTGGGAGCTGAGATTGACAAAATCTCTCCACCGGAGCTTCTCAAACAGTTTGAGGAAGTTTTATCATCTAAACGTGAGGTATGAGGTCCCCAAATTTTGAGTACTTGGTGCCGGCTCTAGTTAGCCATCACCTTTGTCTGTGAATTATCTATACTAATATATGAAGTGAGAACACAATTTGGTGTTCTTGAAGTTGTGTGGACTTTTATTTTTCAAAGACTATTATGTTTTGATCATTTAAATGACCTTGTTATATGGGTAAATATGAAAATTCATGCACCATTAACTCCATGTTTCAACTAATTCATTTTATTTTATTTTTGAACTTCCCACTTAAGAAGTGGTTACAACCACTTGTTGTTTCAATTTATTTTTTTTTTTAAATTTGATTTCCCTTCTGCTTTTTATTTTTTTTATAAACAAGCACCAATCCCTGCCCCCCAAAACTGCATTATTTACATTGTGAAATTTGTCACGAAATATTTTTGGACCCAATTTGTTGATTTGTTAGCTGTTTTTCCCTGATTACTATTGATGAGTCCCAAATTTTGTATTCACCCAAAAAAGTCCCAAATTTTGGAGACCGATTAATGGTTGTTCTACAGATAAATGGTTATGTGAAGATCTTTCCCGGTGTTGCACATGGATGGACAGTCAGGTACAAAGTCGATGATGAAAAGGCTGTCAAATTTGCAGAAGAAGCCCATCAAAATATGTTAGATTGGTTTATTGAGTATGTCAAACAAAGAAAAGGATCCTTATAGTTGCCCGCTCAGGTATCCAATTATCGTACTATTATTACTAGTAGTAATAATGAGTCTGGAATGTGAGAACAAACTCATGTAGGCTTCTAGTTTGAAAGATGTTTTCCGTGTGCCTTTAAAGTCAGTGTGGTTGTATCCTGAATGCAAATGAGATATACTCATATGTATGTAGACTTATTTCACTCAACATAACGAATAATTCTAAGCTTGCCTTCTTTGCCACTGTATTAATCTTTACTTGCTATTTTAATGATTCCATCATGTTTGTGTGGCATCCAAAAGAGTATAATGTGTTCGGAATTGCCCTGAACTGTCATTTTTTTTCACTTCAAGATCATCATCTTTGCGATTTTTTTTTTGGGTGTCTGGTCTGGATGTGTTGCAGGACCTTTAGAACTGAAATTGTCGGTATGGTTGTGACATCATGATCAGGGTGACTTTGTGAAATGTAGGTAAACTAGAAGGTATGAAATATGCTACCAGGCCTTGAATCCTAGCAAGATAGGATGCATATGAAAAAATTAAAATAAAATAAACACGACTTTTTGTATTACTAGCATTTGTTTCTAGCTTCAAGATGTTATAATCTGTTTACATGCAATGGCTGTCTTAAATTTGTAGGGGAAAAAATGAAAGGAATAAAAGTTGATTTTCTAAATTTTTTTCACAAGTATAAGATCCAAACACAGTGCAACCGAACCCAAAAAAAAAAAACTGCATTTGAGGTTCAAAATGAATCACCATATAATCAACTGTGCTGATCAAAATGTACATAGAATTTATGAGAAACTAAATATAATGGAGTTATTTAGTTCCACCAAGCCCCATAATAACCACAATGTGGCAGTGGCGGTGGCCTCAGACAACAACAGTGGTCATATTGAGGTGGCGGCCTGTCATACACAACAGGTTTGGAGCAAGGGGGTATCGCAGATGATTAGGAGGAGGTTGAAGCTTAACCGTAGGCACGCAGTCATGCGACCATGCATGATGGTTTTCTTGTGATAGAGTCAACAGTGGGTATCCTTACATTCAGTGCCCGTTTGGCAACTCGATTTCAGTGGCCTTTTGATATTTTTATGAAGTGAAATAAGTTAGTGTGTTTGTAATAATTTTTTTAGTGGAATAGACAGTTGTGAATAAAAAAAATAATTGATTGATATGTATAATTTAACATTTTGACTTTTTTTTGGGCTGGGGGGCAAAAAAATCACAAACCAAATGAGAACAATGTCTTAAAACACTTTTGGAGTCGAGTTATCTTTAAACTCGTGATCAAAATCATGAAGATAGAAGCAACCTGTGTACTTGCTCTTGTGATTATGACCATTTTTCTGGTCTTTGCTAGTTTGCCTGTTCTTGTTTTGGGCATTGACAGTTAGGTTCTCATAGGACAATACCTCTACTTTCTTATTCTTCTTCTATTTTGCAATCTTCTTGATGATTATTGCAGGGCCTACTTTGCCTGATACTGTTACCACTCCTTTTTTTGCTTCAATACTCGCTGCATATATTCCTAGCAATAATGAATTATCATAAAAATTAAATTGTGATCAATTTAAACAGCAAGAGTTGAGCTTCTCTCCAGTTCGGATAACCAAACTAAAGGTCCAGTCCAAGCTCTGCACGTTGGTATTTTTTGGATGTAAATTAATAATTTAGATTTTGTTCACCTACTTACAAACCCAACATTAGATCCCAAAAAATAATAATAAAACACTGACCCAATATTTGATGGGTTAATGGATACATGAGATTTAAATCATTAATTTACAAAAAAATGACAATGTGGCACGCATTCATTGATGGACCATGCTCTCCCGTCCAAATATGAATTGAAGAGAAGTCATTCTCAAACAGCAATGTTGCACACTTAGAAAAATTCATAAAAAATTATTTACAATGCAATGTTGCGACATTGCATTCATTCTAATTGAAAATGTGACGTATTTTAGATATTTTTCTATAGAAAAACAAAATATATATGGGTGTGTATTGTTTTCCCAATTTAAATAGTATGGAAAATAGGTAATACATCAACAAAATAAGTCATATATATATATATATATATTCTATTATAAATTTAAGACAACAAATATATACATATACCATAAATTCTGTGTTTTTTTTTATTAATTTGAAGACTACCATAGAGATTTACTTTCAAAACACTAGTTTCCAATAATACATTCAAGGGAACAAGTCATTAAAAAGACCAATCCAAAAACTATAAAACTAAAAAATGCACATCCAAAATGACTGTGACTTGCATATTATTTTTTTTATACACTTTTTTTTCCACCATCAAGGGAACATCATTTAAAAGACTAACCCAAAAACCTATATACAAAAAAAAAAACTAAGAAGCTGAATAATATATAGTAAATTAATATGCATAAATACTGGATAGAGAGCACAATGGTCCATGGAAAATGACTTTTTTTTGGGTGTACATGGAAAATGACTTGATAAGCCACAAACTAACAAAGGGTTCGTCTTGTTCTTCAATTTTTGGAGAGAAAATTTAGATATTCATAGGATATTCCAAAAGAGTGATGATAATATGATGAATTAATGGGGCTGACCTTTATCTCCCATTACTAATCTAATTGAAGAGATGCTATTGAACTATATTAGATCTATTTTAGACTCATTTTGAAGATTCAAACAGTTCATTTCGTAAAATCCTTCAAACAAACCCTTCTCTAGTTGCTATTGACAATATTAAAGGTACAAATCATTCTCACACCTGCATACTTTGTATTAACATGAAAAGAGATTAATCAACAGCGAGAGCGAATCTCAGGACTCTCTTGATGTAGCTCTTGTTTCAGTTTTCCACCATAGCCTGTGTCTCAGTGGCGGTGGCATCCACACCTATTGTGACCGGACACACCAGACCATTTGCAGGCCAAGAATATGACAGCACATCCATGGTGAAACTCTCTTATCTTCGCATCAACTCTGTGTTGATTGGACTAAATGATTTCTGTACAACACAAATCACATGGGTCATGAATGAAAGATGTTCCGAACAACTGAATTGGTAGTGATGAAGTTGGAAAACTTCACATAAATTTATAATAATGGAAATCTAATTTTCTGTAATACAGCTCAAGAGTATCTATTTCAAATATTTTGAGGCATTGGAATGCCAAAAGTAAGCTACATTCAGAACCAGAAAACTAATACAGCCAAAGTCAGAATAGTCATAAAATACACTGAATCGTCACTATTGAATTTCAGCCACCACGAGCTTCTCTTCTTGTAGCATCATGAAGCAGTTCAATGTCAACTCCATCTGGTGGTAACTGAACGTACCTAACCACTGATCCTCTGATGAAACAGTTCCTCACTGAGAGCTGCCAGAAAACATGGAAGACAAATCAAAAACAAGGACATGAAGTTAGATTATACAAAACACCAACATCAACATCAAACTCAAAACCACATAGAACGTTAATAAAATCAGTCAATAAAACCTACAGATGGATCATTAACTGGTAACTTAAACAGATTGACATGCACTACTGCAGAAGAGTGTAGGCCTTAACATATACATAATTGTACATGTGCACCATACATATCCATATGGATCAACATTGTGTGCATTATCTTCTTTTATTTTGTTTTTCGTGCATTGAAGCTCAAAATGTTTTCTTTCGAATTCTCTTTGATTTCCTCCAATTTCTTGCATGGATTTATGCTACCTATGTGGGACCTATTGTATCTATGATAGTGGAGTGTGCCACATCAAATAGTAAACGTAAATGGTTAAACCAAATGGTAAGCAAAACATTGCTCATGATATAATGAACTGATGATGTTTCATTAAGATTGAAGAAAGAGTCATTCCACAATTAAAAAATCAATATGGCTATATCTGATATTGAAATTGTTAAAAACAAAAGAATCAAATTGAAGCGAAAAAGTGAGAACAACAGAGTTTGCTTTTTAGAAAGGATAAGAGGACTAGAAAAAAAGGAAGATAAAAGTCTAAGTCCATATGTAAGAAAGAAAGCTACTAGTATTAATAAAGATCAATGGGGTTGTCACCCGTTTTAAAATAATAATAAAAATTCAAGATCCAAAAAAGGAATAAGGTGAAATTGAATTAAAATTTGTTAATATTATACGTAAACCACACCAATCTTGAAACACAATAGAGTTCAAGTTTTTAAAAATAATAAATCAAAAATAAAAACAAATTATTAAGAATGAAATGACCATCCCCCAAAAAAATGAAGAAGAAGAAAGAAAAAAGAAAAAAAACTAGATGCCATTAACCCACTCTGAACACCAAAGCTCTAGTTAACTTTCTCATGCTTCTCAAATCAGATGAAAACACCACACCACATCCCCAGTCTTTGGACAATTGCATCAAAATTTCAAATTCATGAAGTTCAATATTTAATGATTCATCATTTTTAGGAAACCTTGAAAATGCTAAAATTTTTATAAAACAAGATTCCCCATTCCACCAAATTTCAATCATGAATCGCAATCATGCTTGAAGATCATCTGACACAAGATATGCTAGTGAACTGCTTGACTCGATGGATGATGGGAGAGCACTCCATCTCAAGCACAAATTTGGTGCAATAGTTCAATATCATCATACTTGAAGATCATCCAAGATTTAAGAATTCAAAAGGCCTGGTAAAACCTAAAGCCTCGATGTTCACATCACGACGTGGCAAGTACTCATGTCTCAACTCTCATCAACACACGAATCAGCAAAACGATCCAATAAACACCGAAGGTTATTTACCACAAAATCAACCAGAAAAAAATCAAAGCATGCTATGTAATAATATTTATCCAAGAAAAAACAAAAAAGCATGCTATGCAATAATGTAACACATGACACAAAACTGCACACAAAACCCATAATTTTAAAGTCCAAGGAAGGAGTGCCCTTCTTTTTTTCTTTTTGATTGGCAACAAAATAAAATATATACACAGAAAAAAATAAAAACAAAAAGAATCAGTGCAGGGAAGGGAGAACAAGGAGTCCTCTAGAGAAGAACAAGCATAAAATTAATAGTCTCACTACAAATCACACACTGCACTGAAATCTCTAGAAATCAAAAATAGTGGTACCACCCTAAAAATAGGAGATACCAAACCCAAAAAGAGGCCAAATGACAAACTTTCTCCCATGACGAATCAACATCCTCACCCTTGTCCTCGAAAATCTTAGTATTAGGCTCCAACCAAATAACCCAAAAACATACACGAGAGACACAATCTTACAAACTTGTTGCCTTCTTATTGCACCCCAAGCCCCAGGAGGAGTACCCATGCTGTCCCAATAATGCAATATCATGGTTTCAAATAATGGCATTGGGATATCCGGATCGGCCATATGGTCAATGGTCATATCATATATATAAGATAGAGCCCTGTGCAAGAGTCACCGAGATCATGAACAACAAAAGCCCCAATAAATCCTGACCTATGAGGCCATAGTCCTCTCATCACCCTTGATTTATTTATTTTTTAAATGGCCAAATATATGTTAATTTAAAACCCAATATTTTCACATTATCTTTATGACTACCCTAAACCCTAAAACTTACATTGCATACAAAAAGTACATGTACTGTAAAAAAACACATAAATATTTATAATAGAATTATCCAAAACAATAAAATATCAAAACATAGTCATAAAAAACAAAACAAAACAAAACCCTAGAAAGTAAGAGAGGAACAGAAAGTACCATGTGGGGATACTTGTCCTGATCCACAACCCTGGTGTTCTCAAGCTTAATGTTGAGATACTGATCAACCGAATGCAGAGTGCCCCGAATGGCTAGATCGTTCTTCAGTTCCACTGTCACTTCTCTGCCCACTAGGTCCTTAAAATACGAGAAAAACAACTGCAACCAAACAAACCCACTTGATTAAAAACACAAAAAAGAGTGAGATTTTTGGGAAATCTATGAAATAATTGGAATCAATCGAAAGAAATAGAAAATCAATGAAATATGATACATATACACAAGGCCAATTGTGTAAAGGAAAGAATTATTATCAAAGAAGATATAAACATGAAAAATACGTGAACTTAGGGTAAAGGAAAGAAATCGAAAGAAAGATAACCATGTTTCCGGGAAAATTCTCTTTTCGTTCTGCTTTCTTCTCTGTGTACTCCAACTTTCTAGCTGCTTGACATGAATGTGTGTTCTTGTTTGGGACGCTGGAAATACGTTCCAAAGCCACCCTACTTGACGTTGTGTTTGGTTACCGGGAATTTGTTGTCGGTTGAAATAAAGATTTAAATAATTTACAATAATTCTTTTTAAACCATCTACTTTACCTTTTCTTAACATCAAAATTTAACAATTAATCACTCCCAACTATTGTTTTGTTACTATTAATATTTATTTATTTTTGTTAGGATTGTATTAAGAATTTACATAAAATTAGGACTTACTACAGTTTTAAAATAATAATGCCTTTATTTAATGAGTCCGTTTGTAATTTATCACTAAGATAAGAATGTTTTGGGAAGTTAGTAAAAAACTGACTTTTTGACTTTTTAAACTTATTGTCTTTTTGTAGATAATTTTTGTGGATAAGTTATGTGAGAGGTGATATGATCCAAAATTGATAAAAAATTAGAAGTTGACTTTTTACCAGCTTCCAAAAGAACACAAAATTAAGATAAAGTGTAAACGAGATTATCAAATAGTAATTTATTCTAAAAAATTAATAATTGTGTCATGTAGTTCACTCATGATTATATTTCATTTAAATCTTTAATAGAATCCTAAATAGAATATATTAAATGTAACAACATAATACTTTGGGTTAACTGTTCAATTTTAAACTCTATAAACCTAAATGCAAATGTGTCATAGTTTAAACCCACATTTTTTTAAGATTAATAAAGAGTTTTACCTGATAACTTACTATTTAACAATTGAAAAGTAACTCAAACAATAAATCCAAACTTTAAAGGTTCTTTAAGAGTATCATTGTGTATAGATTTTGTAACAACCTTCATACTGTTTACCGATTAATGACTGATTGATTACCGATAACCATCGATTACCGTTAAACTGAATTGATTATGACTGATAATTGGACTGATTAAAAGTACTGAACTGCCTGACCAAAATTGAAACTGAATTGAATGAATACATCTGTTTGAATTGCATTCTATCTGTTCGATTAATTATTTGATCTGTTCGTATTTTAGTGTTTAAACTGCTAATTGAAGGCCTTATCGGCGGCCGAACTGGGAATGGATTAATGTTTTATGATCCTCATAATTAATGTGATTTTATGGTATTTTTATCTTAAAACTGATTAGGTATGCTTGAATTAGATTAAATAAGCTAATTAAAGAGTTAGGCTTAATTACAGAATTGCCACCCTTAGTGGCCCACTCAATATAACATATTTGAGCCTTACATTTGACCACATAACACATTTTCATCAGCCTTTTCTTGCTCTAGCCGACCAAGAGAGGGAGAGAGTGAGAGAACTTGTCTTCCATCTTGAGTTTTGCTTGCTAATTGAAGAACTTGAAGGGTAGATTGCTACTTTAGACTCCTAAACCTTGAATACAAGACTAAGGTAGGAAACTCATCTTCTTCTTGTGGTTATTGAGCTAGCTCTTGCATGATTCATACTTCATTGTAGAACTAAGTCATGATTTGGTTCAAGAATGTGGAATTATAGCTTCATTTCATGCATGCATGTTTGAATTAAGGAGTTTTGAGTTGAATTCATGGTAAAATGGTGCATGCATGTTCATAATTTTGTAATGGTCCATGTTTTCAACTTGTTTTTGGATCAATTGGCTCCTTAGAGCATCAGATTGGAACTTCCAAATGATTTGAATTCGTGCATGTTTGCGTGTTCATATTGTTCATGAAATTGGTTTAAATTGAGTTTGAATTAAACACCCTTGGGCTTTGATTTCTTAAAATTGAGCTTTGAAACGTGTTATTCTATGTGTTTATAAATGTTTTCCAGAAAATGGGCCCATGAGGATCGGTTTTGATGCCTTTGAACTTGGTTTTGAGCTTGGAGGTGCAATCTGGAATTTCCAGATTCTGCACTTCCGCTCGAGCGAGGGAATCGCAGCTCGAGCGTGGAATCCGAGCATCCAGTATTTCTGCACTGTTTTATAGTCCGCTCGAGCGGAGAACTAGGCGCACGAGCGGAGTCATGTCTCAAGCTCGAGCGGGCGTCGAGCGGAGATTTCACCCATCTAGTACTTTTACAGTACGCTCGAGCAGGAAAGTTTACGCTCGAGCGTGTACCTTTGTTGCATGACCGCTCGAACGGGGAAACTTGCGCTCGAGCGGGACTCTGTTTTTCTGAAAATGCTTTTAAATGTGCATCTTTGCATCCTCATCCCATTCTAGGCATTCTTAGGCTTAGTTTAAGACATCTTGTTGAGGATATAGACGTAGAACACACCGAGGCATTAGGGATTAAGTTGTTATCTTTCCCAACTGTGTAGCTTAGTGTGTGTTCAACCTGTGAACTGTGTAGGATTGGCGACTGGGGAGGCACGCTCTGGCATACTGTAGCCCAAACTCTGTGAGTAACAACTGTGTTAAAGATATGTTCAAAATGATTATTTTCTGAACAATTGAACTGTACTGCTTTCTGAACTGTTACTGTTAATTGAATGAATGTATGTCCTCTATTCTGAACTGTATTGTGGCATCCTTAGCAACTACTGTTACTGACTGTTACTGTTACAGAGATCTCTGTCGGTTCCCTCGTGGAACCACTACTGTTTACTGATTGATGGCCATCATTACTGTTCGGTCTTTAAGACCTACTGTTTACTGATATGCTAATGGATGTACCACATATGACTGAATAACTGTTCTGACTGAAAGACTGAAGTATTGTTTAATGAACTGATTTCATTACTGTAAGGACATTTCATTCACAACCCCTTTACGCATTATGTTATTCACTGGGCTTTAGCTCACTGTTTATATATATATGTAGGTGCTCAGCCACCAGATCAGAGCTAGAAGCGTGGGTTAGACTCCAGTTTTGTCAAGCCAGCCTTTGTGCCTCACTGCGAGGTTCCGAGTTGCCATGTTATGATTTCGGTCTTTATTTTATTATTATATAAAATAATATAAGAAATGAAATATAATTTCATGTATGAATCACTATAAAATTTAAACGATAAATCATAACATATAATTAGTGTTGAGTATAGAATAATACACGAAAAAAATAAGAAAAAAAGAAAAGCAATTTAGCATTATTTTTTTTAATACCCTTGAAAGAATTAAGAAAAAAGAATGAAACGTAAAATTGGTATTGATTTTGTGGATTATCTCAATTTAATATGAACAAATGTATGGAAAAGAAATATTTGTCAACAGTCCATATAAAATAGGTAAAATTACTATAATTTAAATTATGTTTAGATTTGTGTAGAACTCTATATGCAATTAAAAAAATACATGCTAGCGTGACTCTTTTAGAAAAAAGTAAGTCCTTATAACGTGTTACCTAAACATCAAAAAAATATTACCTTTAATAATATATATATATGTATATGATTACAAAATCAATTAAAAAAATGATAAAAGACAATGAAAGAATATAAGAGAAGTTACATCTCATTTCATTGGTGTGAGGGAAAAACAAATACAAACAAGTATTAAATATTGTGAAAATTAATAATTAAAATTATAAATTTTTTCATTAATGTGTAATAATTTTTTAAAATCTATCATGAACATATATTTTGGACTATCATATTTATTTTATTAAAAATATTTAAATATTTTAATAACTTTGAAGACCAAAAAAATTAAAATAAATTAATAGCTCAAATTTATTTATATAATTAAGTGGACAAATTTGAGATTTATAAGTTATTTATTTATTTATTTTAAGCACAGACTTAGGACAAGTTTGGGAGTTAGTTTTATTTAGTCAAAAAAATAAAAAAAATCATTGCAAAAAAATTAACCAGTATCTTATACTTTCTTATAGGTCTATAATTAAGGTCTCTTTTGAAAATTTGTTTATTTTAGTTAGTTTTTTTAACTATTTTATGAGATGAAAAAAATTATATTTGAGGTGATTTGTTATTTATTTTTTGTAATTGAATAGATAGTTATAAAAGAAAAAATAATTGATTGATATGTAAAATGTGACGTTTTATCTCATTGACCATGTTAATTTTTTTTGTTAGTCTATTTTAGCCAAAAAAAAAAACTTGTCCCAAACAAGCTTAAAACATGAATAATTTTTATATACAGATAAGATATATGTCATGTAATACATTCTATCATTGTGGTGACTTTAATAATATAATCCACTGTATTTTATATTAGATATTTGAAAAGAATAAAAGACATGTATATTTATAATTAGTAAATAATAAAACCATGTAATATCTTATTAACATACAAAAATTTCTCATACAGAATATTGGATTGGACCGAGCTTAAGTTTCGTTTAGTTTTAAATTTTTGGCTAAAAAAGTATAAAAAAACAAAATTAGCTACATAAGTTAATATGATAAAATATCACATTCAAATCATAATCATTATACTTTTTTTTATTACAAAATTTAAAAAAATCCAAAAAATAAACCAAAAGAGATTAAAAAAATCTCAATACAAAAAAACCAACTAAAAATGCCAGACCAACACTAGAATTACACGTACCGTCCTTTCAGTGCAAGCCCGGCTCGTATTTGCCCACCCCCAAGTGGGCGGCCCCACTCAAGCGCGGTGCGCCATTCACACCACCACCGGTGTATTCACTTAATTACCACGCCCGTTTGTTCAACTTTCTTTTCCATCATTCATTCATTTGGCTCGCTTCTCGCCACTGCCGAATTTCAATCCCACAATAAAATTCTGCAATTTGATTGATGCCGACTGTCTTTGCATATAAAAACTACCCTAGATAACGAGCGATTCAAGGTTAGGGTTTTGTTGTTGAATTGCTGAGAAGATGGTACCATGGGGTGGACTCACTTGTTGTATGAGCGGAGCCGCTCTCTATCTCCTTGGCAGGAGCAGTGGAAGGTTAGGTTAATCTTCTCTCAGTACCAAATTTTATAATTTTTTTTTCCCCAATTTTGTGAATTGATTAATACTAATTTGATTATGTGTGTTCTTCAGGGATGCGGAGGCTCTCAAATCTGTCACTCGAGTTAATCAATTGAAAGATATGGGTAAAACCCTAAAACCCAATAATTATATGTTTTAAAATATTGTTTATTTTCTTGATTGTTGTTTAGACAGATAAATAGTGTGCTCGCATGTATTCTACATTTTAATTGATTTACTTGTATATCAACTAGAAGAGTTCACGTGTGTTTTCATATAATAGTATAGATTGTTATATACTAGGACGAAGAAATTATACCAAGAGAAGAAAGACAAAAAGTAGACTTAACACTTGGGCAAAAAAGGAAGATGTCCTTGCAAAATTTGTCACCCCCTCGTGGTTACTCATTTTTCTGATTAAATCCTATGTTTAGAGTAGCATTTCGCCTCTCACTCTCCAGCTTTATAGTGGTAGTGGTGATATTGTTGTCAAATTATGAATCATTTTGCTAAAATAGTGAATCGTAAGATTCACTTTATTTAGGATAATATATAATTTTACATATGTATATACATATAAAAATACACATTCATATTGTATTTCAAATGAAATAAATATCAATATAATTAAATTGTATAAATGTATGTACATAATTGATAAATATATATATATATATATATTAATTTTGTGAAAATGATGTTATTTTATGGATTTTCTGATAGACCTGAATTGCAGCTGAATCTCAGTGAATTTCAATGAATTGTTGTAAATTGCAATTGAACTGTACGGTTTACTCAATTTAAGATTCAACAGCACAAATTGAATTGTTTGGTTGAAACTCTTATCAAATCGTATGAATTGAATTGTGAATCGTAGGATTCTAAGAACCATGGTAGCACTATTATGTGAATGGTTATATTGCCAATGACCACACTGATGTTGTTCTTGATTGGTGAGGCATTGTGGTTCTCTAATAACTCATTGCAATTGGGCTTCTTAGGAACATCTATTTGATGTGATTTATTTTATTTTTTATTTTTTTCCTTTCTTCTTGAATGTTTGGTTAAAATTGACTAAAATATTTGCCCAAACTAGCTCTTGAATGATACTCAAATAAAATTTTCCGCTTTTCTGACCTTTCAGGACAGTTACTAGATACTGCATCGAAAATTTTACCTTTGGTTGTTACTGTTGCTGGAAGAGTTGGTTCGGATGCACCGATCAGTTGCGAGTACAGTGGTTTACGGGGTGTAATAGTGGAAGAAACAGTAAGTAGATTCACTTTTCCAGACACTAATCATGTTTTATTTTGTTGTTCGTGAACATTCTTCGAATACCTTCTGCAGGCAGAACAGCACTTTTTGAAACACAATGACGCAGGATCGTGGATACAGGATTCTGCTTTGATGCTATCCATGTGTAAAGAGGTTCCCTGGTACCTGGTGAGAAATGGTTTCCTTGCCCCTCTATCTCTTTGGGACTATAATATTGCATCTATATTGTTTATTGTCTGGAATGAACATCATTCTAGTTGAAGATGAAGTTTTACAGTCTGCAATGCACCCATTCAAGATTAGGGAGTTATTGGTGTGTGGCCATATGTTATAATCCTTATTAGTTGCTCTGTATCAGGATGATGGGACTGGTCGTGTATATGTAGTAGGGGCTCGAGGTGCTACAGGTTTGGTTTTAACAGTTGGAAGTGAAGTCTTTGAGGAGTCAGGGAGGTCTCTTGTACGTGGAACATTAGATTATCTCCAAGGTCTCAAGGTTTGTTTTGCTTGTATTTGCTCGTTACCCACACTCACACTCACACTCACACTCACACTCACATGTATGCTGTGCTTTGATAAGTACCCACATGTGTTTTAATCAAGCTTACTAAATGGTGGTTGTTTTCTAAAGATGCTTGGAGTCAAGAGAACCGAACGTGTTCTTCCAACTGGTACACCCTTGACTGTTGTTGGTGAGGTATGTTTTGCTTTCAAAATAGTTGTCTTCTTTGTTGAAAACTCATTGCTAACATTTATGGCCATGCTTTGCGACAAAAAAATGACCAACAATATTGATACATAAATGGAATGCAAATGAGTAATGATAACATCATACATGTGTCGTGGATGGTAATAAACATTCCAATTAAGGGTGGATAGCATTAAATTATTATCTGTCAAATGATCTACCATTTATGAAATAGATGGAATGTTAGCGAACAATGAATTCAATTATTGAATATTATTGAACAACAAACTAATTGTATGATGGATAGCAATACATATTCTGATTAGGGTCCAATCAAGCCACAAATAGTTATTGTTTTTTGAAATTGTTATCTATTTAATTGTAGTGCCTGATTGTATCAGTTTCATGAGATATACATATACCCCGAGGCTATGCTTGTACTTGCTAAGTTCTAAAGAATTCTGTAGGTCATATTGTTATTGGTTTTAAGTTGGATGTACGAATTACGTTGCAAACATGTTCTTATACGAAGTATCGATTTTTCTTATGTGTGCTGATGCACTAATGCAACCATCATATAGAATAGTTGTATCCAAGGTTTTGAAAACCAGACCGGGCCGGCCGGTTCAACCGGTTAAACAGTCAACCGGGTGAGGTTCTGGTCCTGTCAACCCTTTTAAACCATTCAAAGTCAAAAACCGGTATATTTAAGGAGAACCGTTTGAACCGCCGAACTGTCCGACCCGTTCACGGGTTAATCAAACCTTGTTATGATATATATATATGTATATATATATAACCAAACCAAACCAAAATCAAGCCTTAAATCTCATCAAATGGGGTCGGCTACATGAATCCTTCTTCTCCATGCGGCCCTATCAAAGGCCATTTTGTTAGTTAAATTAAGTAGATCCATATCTCTATTTACAACGCTAACCAACGTTAATTTAGGTCTATCCCGTTCCCTGACACTTCCATCTACCGTTATAGCATCGCATCTCTTTACTACTGCCTCTGTTGGTCTCCGTTGAATATGACTAAACCATCTCAATCGATTCTCTCTCAACTTATCTTCTATCGGTGCTACTTCTACTCATTTCCGAATACACTCATTCCCGAACACACTCATTCCTAATTCTGTCTTGTCTAGTCTTGCCACACATCTACCTTAGCGTTCTCATCTCAGCCACACTCATCTTATCTACATGTTGTTTCTTGGTTGCCCAACACTCCATCCTATACAACATCACTGGTCTAATAGCCGTTCTATAGAACTTACCTTTAAGTTTAGTGGGTATTCGTTTATCACACAGTACCCCAGACGCACTTCTCTACTTACACCATTCCGCCTTAATTCTATGGGCCACATCTGCATCAATCTCCCCCACTGTTGTGATAATCGATCCTAAATAATGAAAATGTTCACTCTTAGACAATTCTTGGTTCTCAATCTTCACTTCTCCTTTGCTTTCATTGTTACTGTTACTAAATTTATACTCCATATACTCTGTCTTAACTCCAAGTTTGTATTAACTCCTTCTCTAGTCTCATCCACTAGCACTATATCATCTGAAAAAAGTATACACCATAGCACGTCATCCTGGATATTTTTCGTCAACTCATCCATAACTAAAACAAAAAGATAAGGACTTAAGGTAGATCCTTGGTGTAACCCTACAGTGATAGGAAATTCATTTGTCTCTCCAGTAGGCGATCTAATAATGGTCACTACCCCTTCATACATATGTCCCTAATCACATCAATGTAACCTTTTGTCACCCCTTTCTTCGCTAACACCCATTATATTATATATTGGGCAGTTTATCATATGCTTTCTGAAGGTCGATAAACACCATATGAATATCTCTTTTCTTTTCTCTATACTTTTCTATTACTCTCTGTGGGGGCCGAATAATGGGGGTTGTAAATAGGCCGAGTATATGAACTTGGGGGACTGGGATGTATGTATAGTATTCGGCTTTATCCCACATCCAAATCATACCCTATTCGGCCGAGTAAAAAGCAATTTGCTACAAAGGAAGCCGAATGACGAACAGAAAGTGGGCCTAATCCCGAGGCCCAAGAGAGAAAGGATATAAATAGAAGAATATTAGCTAGTAAGAGATATGTGAGAACTATTGTGCTTAATTTAGAATACAAGTAAACTTGAGTGTAAAGACTGACTTGCCCGTCGGAGTGCTAATTCTGGCACCCCCGACCGGAGTGTTTATTCATTTTCAGGTGACTAGAAAATGGTCACTAGCGTCTCCCAGGATCAGAAGAGTATTTTCGAAACCACATCTCCACAATTGGCGCCGTTTGTGAGAATACTCAAATATATCCATGGCAGACGTAACAGAAGATCCTCCAATAGTCATTGATGAAACCACGCAAAGAGACGACCTCACTCCAACAAACATGCTTGGACCGGAGACTATCGCCGCAAGACTTGCCTTGAACTTCGCCTCACCCTCGACTTTAGAGCATGAGACAATGCAGGCGATCATGGAACAAGCAAAGCAAAATGAATAGAGGTTGGGGAACATGATCGCTGAGAACGAACATTTTCGTGAAGATTTGGCCTTGGAAGTGGCGAAGTCCAAACAAGCTGTACGCCTAAATCCGGAACGATCTTCGAAGGCAGGTGGTCGACAATCTCGAGCCCGACAAGACGACATTGATAGCAACTCCGACTCGTTATCCTCGGAGCCCAGGAAGAAGAGGCGGCTTGAAACTACCAGTTCTTCTGAAGAAAGTCCCCGTATAAGGCACAAGCGAAGAAGGAACAGTTCGAACGAAGATCAACACGATCCCTTCGTACGACGGATTACAAAGGCAGTGCTACCCAAGAAATTCAAAGCACCGTCATTCATCTTGTACGACGGCAAATCAGACCCCACCGACAACATCCGCCACTACAAGCAAGCCATGACATTGCATGCAGACGACGAGACCCTCTTGTGCCGAATATTTTCAAGCAGTTTGGGACCATTGGCTGTCAGGTGGTATTATAAACTGGAGCCGGCTTCGATCAAAGCCTTCTACCAATTACAGAAATCCTTCAGGGCCAGATTCATCACCAACGAGGTCCAGCCGAAATAAGCCGACTCTCTCTGGGCAATGCAAATCTTGCCAGGAGAAACAGTAAGAGCATATTCGGCGCGATATTGGGAATGCTTTAATCTTGTTGACGACGCTTGCAACGACTCCATGGCCATCACCGCCTTCAAAATGGGATTACATCCAGATAGTGCCCTCCGCAGTTCCTTGACTAGAATACCCCCCAAAACAGTCTGGGGGTTGATAAAAAAGTAGAGGAATACTGCAAAGTGGAAGATGACGCCTTGTGGGTTAAAGCTGGACACATGGCCAACAAAACGGCCCCTCATGAAATTGCTCAGCCAATAAGTTTCGTACCACCTCAGAGCCTTGAACCACGACAGCAGGCTAAACGAGACAAGAGACGGGATTCTCGCCGATCAAGCGATCAATGCTCACACCGAGCAAATGAGCAACTGCAAGTTGATAGTAGGCGCACAAAGCGCGCCGACAAGAAATATACGGAGCTGTCAGAGCCAATCAGCTCGGTTATGTCCAAAATCCAACATCTTCCGTTCTTCAAATGGCCGTCCAAAATGGTGGGACCTCTTGACACGAGAAGGCGGGACAGGCGGTGTGAATATCACAAAGATCACGGTCATGATACGGACAGTTGCTTTGCTTTGAAAGACCAACTTGAGGAATTGGTGCAAGATGGTCGGCTCCAGCAACATGTCCGAAAGAGCGCAATCAAAACAGTTGCCCTTCGGCAGGATTCACCTCCGCTCGGCGTCATTCATATGATATACAGTCTTCCAACGCCTCTTATCGTACACGCAATTCAGTCAGCCCCCCAGAAGCAACTCCCACCAACGAAACGGCCCCACGAAGCTCTGAGTATTATCTTCGACGATTCCGATCTTATTGGCATAACACTTCCCCACATTGATCCATTGGTCATTGAACTACACGTAAACCGATTTACCGTTAAATGCGTCCTCATAGACCAGGGGAGCACTTCGAAGGTTATGTATTACGAGACCTTCGTCAAACTCGACTTTAACGAATCAGACCTGTCTTCAGCTCCTTATCCATTATTCGGCTTCATCGCAAATCCAGAGTACTCGTTGGGGAAAATCACACTACCCGTTCGAGCGTGCTCCCAAACAGTGGATGTAAAATTCTTGGTCGTCAAGCTCCCTTCGCCGTATAATCTCATCATGGGGCGAACTTGGTTGCATACTATTCAGGCCGTGCCAAGCACCTATCATCAGCTGCTACGCTTCCTGACCGAACACGGCATTGAGCAAATCCGTGGTTCCTAGCAATCCGCACAAGCATGTTATCTCCTTTTTGGAAAGACACCAACGGAGTCGCAGGTCAACTCCACTGAAGTGCCGAATCGAAATAGCCTCGACGATCTCGGACGGCTCCCTAGCGAAAAGCCACGGAAGCCCTAGGCGATACCAACAGCAGCTTGGCAAGTCGTATAATCAACGCGTTCAGCTGTGCCGTTACGCACCGGGAGAGTTGATCTTGAAGGTACCTCCGGATGACAAGAAACTGGTTGATGGAAAATTGGGTCCTAACTGAGACGGCCATTATAGGATAGATTCCACATCGACTCAGAAATATGTCAGGAAGGAGTCTGCCACGGCCCTAGAACTCGTCGCACTTGCGAAAATTCTGTCATTAAACCCGACTTCTGTAATGCAAGGATTCTTGTTGATTCGCCATGTACACATTCCACTTTTGTAATGCAAGGATTCTTGTTGAAAAGTTGTAATCCCACCCACTGCGAAATCCAGTTAAAAAGTGCTCCGACGAAAAAAGCCTTCGGATTCGGAGCCCCCTCGGCGCATGATTTCTTTGGGCCGAAAAAGCCTTCGGATTCGGAGCGCCCTTCGGGGATATCATGATTGGCCAAAAAGCTTCCGGATTTGGAGCCCTATCGGCACACGACGTCTTTG